ATGTATATCATATAATTTGAGTTTAAATATCATCTATACGTGTCAATGTTTTGTACAGACACAGTGGGCATGTTTAATTTGTCGAGAGATGTTCAGCCAGTCGTAAGCAGAGCAATAAAGCAAGGGGCGTGTGAGGCTGGCCTTAAGCCGGGACCTGGAGTCGACAGCACGCACACATGGCTGTGGGAAAGGAGTTCCAGACTATGGGGTTAGCAGAGGAGGCTGAACGACACCGTACTGAGTGAAGATTAACTTGACTGGACACTTCCAATAGGAGAAGCCATGGTTGCTGGAACAGAGAGTGTACCAAATGGAGTGAAGTGAGATGAGAGGGGAGAAGTAGTACGAGTCACATCGAGAGGAGTAGATTGAGTAGAGAATGGAGAGCTGTGAGTATAGGGGAGTAGTGAGAGGGAAGTTACGAAGGGGTGTAGAGAGAGGGGAGAGGAATTTGACATGAAGTGGGACTGTCCAGTGTAGGATGTTGATTGCTGAGTGGGCGTGCCACTGGCTTAGAGTAGGAAGGCGTGAGCAGGCAGGTCCCATGGGGTTCTGTGGCTGCAGAATACAGCATGTGGCAGCACTCACATACACAGACGTGGCCTGATGGCCAACATTTAACACTAACTTCCTTGAAAGTGGAACTTTTTTTTAATTGGTGAAGGTATTTAATTTCACCCCAAGCGTCGTGCACGCTTTAACAGGAACCTTTGTTTGCGAGAGATTTTAGTTTGTAGGACAACGGCGAAGGGTTTCATGCCCTTAGAAACACTAGTCGGGTGATTGTATTTTTTTATACTGTACGCATTGTGTTACGTCTCCACACGTTGTCTGGTTGTTATTGTGTTACAATGGCACCTTTCGCCTGTTATATTTCACATGGGCCACATTCACATGGGCCACATTCACATGGGCCACAATCACGTGACCAGCGGGGGGAAATAGCCGCGAATACTGCCATGGTCCTTTCCGATTCCAGAAGCAGCCATTGCCAGTGTATGTAGTAAATGTCTCAACACGTAGCCACAAACAGCAGCAAGACAGTACAGCGAAATTCCAGAAATCCACGGCGATATGGGGATTGGTTTTTTCACGGATCTTATAATGCACGACACAGCGCGAATTATATTTTTCAAATCCACACTGAAAACTTGTGGATTTTGCTGACTTAAAAAAAACTTATAGCCCCAAGACTGCAACGATGTGCACATTATAGGAGTCTGCACCATGCATGACTAAATATTCCCAAGAATTTGCAAAACATTTGGTGATGGTTACATAAAAAAATATTTTCTGTAGCAGGTAAGTTCACGCTGCTCACTTCAAAGCACACTCCCTTATGTCTCGTTGCATCACCGTTTGCCTCTGAAACTCCACGTGTCTCTATGCTTCTCTGTGCATTAACAAAAAAATATCTCAGTTGCGGTGTGCTGTGAATTTTAGCAGGAATTAGTCACAACTCCAAAAATCAGCAAAAAATGTGCAGAGGTCGCAACTGCCTCCAAAAACCCAGAAATGTACGAAAGCTTGCGGATTGCTGAATTTCCCACGAACTGCAGGGGCGCCGCGACTTTGCGAATAGTTGGGAGTTTCACTCCTGTTTTATTACGTAAATGCAGAATCCCATTACAAGCCTGGGAGCGGATTCTTTTCCATTCTTCGCATTTAAGACTGATGTTGAGAAGGCAAATTCTACTGTATTTCAGCAAAGTTATTTGTAAAGCTGGATTTATTTATGTTTAAAGTTTGTCCTGGAAATAGAATCATCTGTTATTGTAACCTGGTAATGGAAGGGCACTCTGCATCTGGACAGGCATATTTTACTGTACTCATTTTTACTGTCCCCAAATGATGGCTCTAAAAACCAGCAAAAAGAAATGATGAAATGTAATGCATGCTCAGGAAGTTCACTGGGGGGTAGTGGAGGCAGGGGAATTTTTGCACTCTACACCCTCGGCACTGCCAACATTTTAACAACGCTAGATTTTTTTCGTTTGCGTTGCACAGCAGAGTACATTCAGCCACATTGCGCAATCGCACCCCGATGCTACATGGCACTGGTCAGGCTTTGGCGGTGGGGTACAGTTGATCATAGCCATCGATTAACCAACACACTACTACGACCATTTATTTTCCAGGTAAGGCCCACTGAACTATTGAGCTCTTTGTCAAGCGACCTGGCCACAAATGATAGGTTAACGAAGTGGCTTATCACGTGGAAATTTATAGCAGCCAAATACTCAACGCATGTTGATTCTAAATGTGGACGGAAACACTGGAAGGACCCGGAGAAAAATCCACGCGACCACGGGGAGAGAGACATACAAACGCCAAATACACAGCAGGTGTCAGGGTCGGGATGAAACCCATGACCTCCTGTATATCAGGTGAGGGAGTTAACATCTTGGCAAGTGAAAGGCATCACTCGCTATGTAGGACACTGCAAGAAGATTAGCGGCTCGAATGCTCTCACGGAATGGGTTGCAAGCTCGGCTGTGCGCACAAGCATCTGTCCAGTCATCGGCATCATCCCTCATTATTTTGGGTTTGGGAGGGTTCTTTAAAACGAGGAGAGTACTACTTTGTTGCGAAGCAACGGCGGTCTTGCACCGTGGATATGAAAGTTTGATCTACATTGCACCTGAATGCAACCGCATCCTAGGACAATGCACAGAAACAGCGGGCATATATATTATTTATGGAGAGAAGTTTGCAGTCGGTCATCGGCAGAGGGAAAAGACGAAGGTCTTGACCCTGCACTTGGACAGGGGGTGGACCGCGTCACCGCCCCATGTGTTTTTTGAGCATCAAGACACACACTTACTTCTCACTGACCTTGGATGAACAAACAAGTGCCCAAGATGTACGACCCATACAAAGGCCGATCCTTTTCAATTGAAACCTCTACGAAGAGGCCGAACGTAATTGAACGTTGGCCGCAGTTGGCGGGCGGAGGGCGGCACTTGCTTGGCCACACCGACTTTGACTATCGCAGATATGGAATAGGTCCACATGCCGGGGGTTCGGGGGGAGCAGGTCCAACGCCACTGTTTGCGATGCCCCGTAGTAGGTGTGTTTGTGCATAAACAGAGTACGCGACCCCCCAACCCCACCCCTGTCCTGCTCCACTATTGACCCCTTGGGGGGGACCCAAGAGCTACACATTACTACGGCGGCGGTGGCAGTCGAGCCCCACAGCGTTACACCCACCCGCATGCTCCACATTCGTTAATTAAGGATATTTGTGCGTGGAGGGCGGGGGGGGGGTATACGCGACAGAATTGTTGATTGGGTTATAAAGAAGGGTTCTGTGCAGCAATGCAGCTGCTCATTTGCTGCACGGCAGTGTTGTGAGTTGAGATCTCTTAACAGTGAACAGTTTAAACTCTTGAATTTACATCGAACACGAGCGGAACACGAGCGGCGGCGGCGCCAGTATTTGCGGCTTGCCGTGTCGCAGCGTTTGGAATGGGCGTCGAGGCTCTAGAATCTTCACGCCGTCCGTAACGGTGAAGAAGGGAATTTATTCTTTTCGTGTGGTGGAAGTGGGCGGTGGTGAGCGTGGGGGGAGGCTAGTGTGGTCGGGCAGGCGCGGGAGGGGGCAATCCAATTTGTAATTTGTACTCGCGCACGTTCTGTCAGCATATGTCGCACGTGAGGAGCAAAGCATGCGCAGTCAACTTTGTGTAAAATGGAGTCGCGGGCTAAGAGAGCCAGCTGCCGGGACATATGGGCGCAGCGGAGTGGTTGAGCTCCGGCTGGGGATGGCTCGTCCGCGTGGGTGGTTTGTGTCCCAGCAGCAGCGGTTCATGTTTTGCACGTGTGTGCGTTACAACTCGTACGAGTTAATTTATTTACAGCAGCTGACAACGTGGTGTTTATTTGGATGCTGCTGTGAGTCTTAATGGGAAGTTGAAACAACGGTGCAAGTTTCTAAAATCCACCGGCCCCTACACCCTCCCTGTGTCAGCCCAGAAATATATTCCTGATTGTATTTTTCTGTTGTTTGATCGTGCCTATTAAACTCTTCCATCAATATGTCATGGATCAGGCGTGTACACATGCATTCATAGATGTGTAATAGTTATGCTCCGTGACTGAACACTACAGTACTCAGGGGTGCAGCAAGTGGTACAGTGGTTAGCGTAATGCGTTCTGAACTCGGTGAGCCGAGTTCGATTCACTCCCGTGCTTAACATCAACGGCAACGGATATCCGAACCAGTCCTTTTTACCAGGTCGCAGTGACCAGCATGGTGAAGTATGTTCAAGCAACCCCTGTAGTGGACAAGAAGTGTGGAGGTCTTGGTCCTTCAGTGGATTGACAAAGCGATGTAAATTTTTCATGCAACGTAATCCTCGGTGCGTGGTGACATTATGTAGTGCCTATACAGGGCGCTTCAATTTTTTTAAACACTTTTTATGGGACTATCGTAACGTACAAACAACACTTGTTCGCCATCATTGTCAACACGTGCCTGGAATTTTCTCCGGGTTGTCTCCAGAGCCCAGAGGCACATTTCTTATTGTTGCAAATTCTCAAAAGTGTTACCATTTTTTTAAGCACCCTGTATAAACATCCAAAGGTTTTTACCACTTTCTTTGTTCGAGGAAAGTCTTCCAGCTTTCTGAGCTTAACCTGTGCTTGGGTCCTAATCATTTACAAATATTCCCAGAGCTATGCCCACTATGTCTGAGCCAAGCGCCGAGTTCTCATCTTCATGGTATTGTCTCCCATTGTTCCCGAATACCACCGGTCACTTTGACTGCATTCGGAGCTCATAATCTTGCCCGTGCGCATGTGTGTGCACACATGCTAACATGATTGTATGCGTGTGTGCGTTTGCGCCTGTGCTGTTTGCGTGTGTGTGTGTGTGTGTCGCGTGTTTGCGTCTGCGTATGCCTGTGTGTCTGTGTGTGTGTATCTCCTGCGTTGTCTCGTGTCGCATGCATTGTGTGCATTCGTGCGTTCCGCTATCCTCGCGCTCGTTGCTGGAGCAGAGAAGGCGACGGCTCGCACCCCTGAGATCCAGCAGTCGGACGTTTCGTCCTAGCAGGCAGACCCTCATCGACAAGGACTCCCTGGGCCCGCTGCTGCTCGAGGTACCTGACCTCTCATAGCTCTTGAGCTAGTTTCATGTCGGTGATGTCTCGTCGACGATGCGTTTCGATGAAAGAACGTGGCAGCCTAAGAGTTGTGTGTGTGTGTAGTGCGGCGGTTAGCGCACTGCGCTACGAACCCAGCGTACCGAGTTGGATTCCCACTCACGGCCAGCATCAGTCGTGAATATTTTAACTGGTTCTGGGCCTCCCCTAGGCCGACTCGGTCTCAATCGAGTACCCGGTGCGATATGTAAACATCGCCAGGCAGCCGGGTGTGGTTCCTGGCCATCCCATCCCCTCATGTGACCGTGCCGGCCTTCATAGGTGATGCTACTTCGCTGACAGCACTTGTCCCCAAAAGTCTGTTATGGCTACACGGGGGGGGATCTTTGTACTTCTCTCTGCGAATGACCGCACCTGGCGTGCATTTGTGTGCAGGCGCTGGACGGCTTCTTCTTCGTTGTAAACCGCGAGGGCAACATCGTGTTCGTGTCGGAGAACGTGAAGAACTACCTGAAGTACAACCAGGATGAGCTGATGAACAAGAGCGTCTACAACATCCTGCACGTAGGCGACCACGCCAACTTCATTCGCAACCTCCTGCCCAAGTCGCTCGGTGAGATGTGCGATGAGACGGTTGAACGTGAGAGTGCACCCCCCCCCCCTCCCTTTTTAGGGTTATGGTTGTGTCTTTCATGTTGGCATTTCCAATCCTTCATCACTTGCGGCTGTCAAATGTCAGCGTTTGAGACCTCGCGCGCTTCACTCTGCAGCACATCGCCCATTGACTTGCCGTCAGAATGTGATATGTTAAAATCCCCGATAAGTTCAAATCCCGACAAGGGATCGCCTCGGACATCACCCCTCCAGGGTTGATAAAATGAATACTGTTTCATGGAAAAGTCTAAACTGTGTCTGGACATGGGGTAAAAGTTGGACCCTGCCACATTATCAGCAGTCATTATCTTTCCGCTACCAGATTTAGACATGTCCTCTTCTTCCTTCACATTCTTGCGATGTCGAAATCCATACTCCTATAGTCCCAACGGATATAGGAATGTGTAATTTCCACCACTCCGACGCTCATTTGAGCATGGAAACACTTTGCTTTTTGGCTTTGCTGAAACATATTCACAGCACTGGCTGGCATACCGCATGTGAAGGCCTCCAAAGTTGCTTCGCTTTTAGGCACCTTTCCTCCAATGGCTCAGGAGATGCAAACCCTCATACTTTTCACGTGCCGCTGTTTCTCGCTCTTTGCGCGAGGGTGGCGTTGCCTTCCGCTGTTTACACACCCCAGGAGCGCCGTGTCTGCCGCACGGCGCTCCTGGCCAGGGTTCAACTTGGGCAGTGCGGCGTCTCTTGCACGCAACCGCTCCCGCTCAGGGTCCCTGCCCCCACAGGCATCCCAATGTGATGTTTTTTTCACCACCGCGGAGCAAACAATGTGGTTCGCACAGACAAAGTGGAACGTTGTCTTCGCGAGCGGGTTAAAAGTGGAAAAACTTTTTTTGTAAATATTATAGAAAGTCTCGTAGACGGCATAATTCAAAAGGCGGTTAATATTCTGCGGATGGTAAGTGGTTCGTCGGTAGGATGGAGCCCCCCAAGGCATGGTGACAATTTGGCCTCGTGCCTGGAGCTCGGAGAGCTGTGGGTATGTGTGCACGGCACGCTTGTCTGCCTGCTCAGTTTGTCACGTGTTTTGCCTTAACACCTGACCACAGGCATGCAAATTTAATTATCACAAGATAGACTTGCATTGGAATGTTTTAATCGCATTAGTTCTGCTACTCTACTCCCTGCCTGTCTACTTGTTCGTCAGCTGATTACGCTGTGGAGTGTGAATGCGTTTGCTTCGGCGTACCGCTAATTGACATTGCCATGATTTTGAGCAAAGGTTCATGTAAATGCTTTGTTTACACAAAGTTTTACTTGTAATTACTTGAACTTTGTAAAAAGATTGAGATTTTCATTTTTACTTTCATTATTTCGTCACACTCTCCTGCTCTCAGTGTGTGATGGAGTCCGATTTAAAATCTGTCTTTAACATACCCAGAGATGTAGTGCATCTGTTGGCGTTTTTGCCGACGATGCGATGTTTTTTTTTGTGGAGTCCTTCCAAGAGCTTGGCGCTTGTCCCTTGAGGTTCTTAAAAAGGAGGCAAGTCAACTGGAATTGAAGGTCTTCTGGACTTAAGGCCTAATCCAGGCATTCAGAGACGTACTCAGTGATGCTATCCACTCGTGGTGTATATTTGTGTGTGTGTTGAGGTCTTCAACACACCAAAAGATAAAGATCCCCTGTGTAGCCTTAACAGACTATTGTGGCAAGTGCTGTTAGCGAGCACCTAAGAAGGCTGGCGCACAGCACACGAGGAGGTGGGTGGCCAGTATCATGCCCAGCTGCCTTTGTCTCCCCAGTGGCGATGATGTTTACACACCACACCAGGTACTAATTTGAGGCTGAGTCAACCTAGGGGAGGGCCATGACCGGTTCAGATGATCGTCTCTGGTGTTGGCTGTGAGTGGGAATTGAACTCGGGTCGCCGGGTTCATAGCGCGGCGTGCTAACCGCTGCACTATACCGCTCCTCAACACACGCGTGGCCTCAGAGTGCACCGAGCCTGGCACAAGCACCGCCACTTAGTGGCGAATGGTGGCTGTTGTTGTTGAGGTCTTCAATAGGGTCACTTGCCTTCTAGCATCATCCTTGGTAAATAGTGGGTTTGACTTGGAGGTCATTTAGCATCTTTTTCTGGCCTCTGGTACAATGGACTGGCTCAGTCAATCGTCAGGTGCTCTAGGCGTCTCTGCAGAAAGACTCGGCTACGTATCTTCACGGTGCCTGTGTTTCATCGTGAGTAATTCTTGGAAATCCATTCAATGCTGCCCTGACGAGGAAGCTGAACTCCCATCATTACCAAGTGTCTCCAGAGGATCATGGAGTGTCACCGGAGCCACTGTGTGTCAAACCAGCGATTTGGTTTTCATCTGGGTTGCACCAGTTACAGCGCTTTGGGCATGTGGCCTATTTCCTTTCGATTGATCTCTCACGCAGGATTATTTTGAAAAGGATTAAACCTCGGTGGAAGAGCCCAAGGAGGAGGTCACAACTCTCCTGGCTAAAGCAGATCGATCTTTATTGTTGGCAAGCACTGGGGATTAGAAGAGTGTCTGCCTGGGAGCATCCCTGGAGGGGACGCTGTGAATTAAATTAAATGTGGTAATGCACAGACTGCATGTCTATTCTCTCATTTTACTTGGATCTACCAGTTTGACGATGCTTTATATCACCATTATCATCGGCCGTGGCCAATCCACTGGCCTCCCAAAGCCGCCACTACATCTCACGATTCTCCGGTGTAATAATCCACGCAGCATCTACAAACGAACTGATTTCATCGCTCCATCTCCTTGGTCGTCGTACTCCCGGACAGGAGACATTTCTTGGCTGCCGTTACATCATGATCTTGACCATCAGCCAATTCATTACCTGTTGTGATAAAGACCTGGTTAACCACTTTCAATGAAATGTCATTGTTGCTTAAAATAAATGTTTGACTTTATTTAGAGAGGATCTGAACAGAACCCCCGTGTAATGGATGCGTGCGATGAAATGGCACGTTCGTTGTTTATCGCGTCAATAATTACAATTGTAATATGAGCACACGAGTGTGCGTTGCATTTTGCAAGATGTGACACGGTAATTAGTGTAGATTGGGCGTGCAGCGCAAGTTAAACAAGATGCCATGACTTCACACGCCAGATCTGTTTACGACTTTCAGCAGGGTGCAGCCTCCAGTCTACTAAACCATAAACTATTTTTTTATTTTACCAGGTAAAGCCCACAAGCGACCTGGCCAACAATCATAGCTCAACGAAGCGGCTTATCACGTGGAAATTTATCGCAGCCAAATACTCTCAACGCATGTTTCCATATGTGGAGGGAAAAACTGGACGACCCGGAGAAAAATCCACGCGACCTTGGGGAGAGACACCGCAAACTGACGTCTGGCTCTGGATTTAATCCTCTTGCATACCGGACGAGGCAGTTAACATCTTGCCACCGAAATCGAGGGGTGTCCTTGGGCATACGGCTTGCAACAACCACTTACAGTTATATACCGTATATGCCAGCGCTATTGTAATAAACACCTTAGGGTTAAAACGCGCATCACAAAATTTACGAGTCGGCTTGCCAAGACCAGGGCCCGTCAACTTAGCCTCGCCCCCTCTCCCGTCTTTTATTTACAATAAAAACACTGGCGCGGGGTGGTGTGTGTGGCCGGGCGTGCGACGGCAGTCGTGTCGTGTTGTCCTTGCTTCGTCGGGGAGTCGTGGCTCAAGCGCCCGCTGCGTGCGCGTGTGTGTGTGTGTGCGTGTGTGTGCGCGCCCGTTTGTTGTTTTCTCCACGGCAGTGAACGGCGTGTCGTGGCCCAGCGACACCACACAGAGGAACAGCTGCACCTTCTCGTGCCGCATGCTCGTGCGGCCCCTCCACGACTCCGAGGCGGAGACGGACGTGGCAGCCGGGGCTCCGGGGGCAGTCGGGGTGGCCGGGGCAGCCGGGTCCACTGGGGTGGCGGCTCGGGGCAGCGGACCGGGGGCCGCCCAGGAGGAGCTGCAGAGATACGAGACCATGCAGTGCTTTGCCGTCACGCACCCACGCGCCATCAAGGAGGAGGGAGAAGGTTCGTCTGCTAAGGAGTTGCCGTGGTCGAAGCCGATTGGCTACTTAAGCCTCTAGCATGAGCCGTTTACCCTTGGTTGCACGTCTTGAGTCCATGGTATTTTTATGCCTGTAGGGAATGACCCCCTGTTCACTTCCGACGAAGTGGTTCTCGTCTGTTGACACTATGGGGATGATGGACAAGTGGCCACCGTGCATCACAGGCGTGATCGGCTTCGAGGCTGGTTGCGGGCAGCAAAGGACAGTGCGGCAAAATCCATTGTTGTATTGTACTTCTATGCTCCTTGCCTTGTCCAACCAGCACTGACTAGTCTTGTTGAACTATATTCAAATAAACCCCTATGACCTACGCAAAGTATGGAGGCCTTAATCCAGCAGTGGGTTGACGAAAAGGCTGTACACGTACATCACAGTAATACCGTACAGTATCCCACAACCTGAGAAAAAGCCAGCATGGTGGGATACTGCAAGAGTGGACATTGAAGGTCGGGTGGTTGACTTGACAACAACTACGGGAACAAGCGGAAGGAAGGAAGCGATGGCTAGGTGTGGTGGCACCAACAGCATTGTTCATGATGACCTCCTGACCTCGACCTATCCACGATGGTAGACGTGCATCGATAGTTTTGCCGATCGCGCTTAAAAGTGACGGTGCACATGTCCAGCTCTTCTGTCAATTCACTGCCGGATGAGGGCTTCCCGACACGGCACGGGTCATGAGGGTTATTCGCAGCATAGTACATTAAATACAACAGTGACATTTTCTAGCCCTGTAACAGCTTTCAGGAGTTGTTTGTTTTTATGCGTTGCGGTCATTCATCCAAGCACTCGCTTGGCACATCTTATTGGCATCTCGAGATCTGACGCATTTTGGGTGATTGGGCGAGGGAACTAACAAATACCCGTGGCTGAATAATGCTTTCGTCAGGCACGCGCCTCCTCGGTCTGCTGAAAACAAAATAAAATTTTCGGTACATTCTTCGTCATGCCACCAGCACAGTTTTGTGGTGTTGTCGGTAGCGGGCGGGAGATGAACGTATGCCGCGTGCTTGTGCCCCCCCCCTCCACTGTGTGCGCGCAGACCTGCAGTCCTGCCTCATCTGCGTCGCTCGACCCATGCCCAGGTCGGAATCGTTCTCCACGCGGCAAGATCCCACGGGTAGGTGACACCTCTCCACCCCCCCCCTCCACTCACCGTGCCCATACCCTAAGACAAGACGTCTTCTCTCTGCTCACCCAGTTTGTGTGTTTTTTCTTCTCACGCGCCGGTGCGCAAGGGCACGCAGCGCAGCATAAGTCGGCAAGCCCGACGAAGTGTAAAATGAAGTAGCCTTGACGCTTGATGGTAAAATGAGAGGAGGCGTAAAAACGTGGAACGTGTGCGCCGAGCATTTGATGCGGGCGCTGCAGCGGCGTGAGCGCTTGGGCTTTGCACGCTGCACACGGACCCCGTGGTGTAAGGCGTGGAGTGAATAAGAACAAGCGGAACAAACGTAAATTAACATACGCGTCGTTAGTGTAATGTATTAAACTAATCTATTATTTTGCCAGGTATGGTCCACTGAGCTATATTGCTCTTGTTTTAGAAGCGACCTGGCCACAAATGATAGCTCAACTATGTGGCTTATCATGTGGAAATTTATAGCAGCCAAATACTCTCAACGCGTGATGTTGATTCGAAATGTGGAGGGAAAAACCGGAGGACTCAGAAATCCACACGGGGAGAGACACGCAAACTCCAAATATACAGCAGGCGTCAGGGTTAGAATCGAACCCACGACCTCCTGCATACCAGATGAGGGAGTCAATATCTCGCCACAGCGATGATCCGGTATTATTGATGACATCATTATTTCGGTCAATTTCTGGTTGATGATTGGCTTCATTCACATCAGTGGCACTGTTTGTGCTGGGTGGAGGCTGCACTTATGATCCAGTGTGGATGCGCACAGCCGACCGAAATATACTCTTGTTGTTCAAACAACATTTTAAAACCTCTTGGTCACTTGCTGGCATACGAAAGTGCTGATATTTACATCCAAGCTGTTGTGCAATTGGCATGAGGTGAGAACTCTTTAACACGGTAAAAAAAAGGCAGGGAAAAAGGCAGGCAATATTCTTCGTAATTTTTTTTCATGTTATTATTACAAATGTTTTTAGGATGCTTTTGCAGTCCTGATACCTTTTTTTTGCGTGGAGTTCAGGCGATGTTGCTACTTGCAATTCTAATAAAGTAATTTTCAGGACCGTTTTTTTTGCATTGCAATGTTTGGCCAATAACGGTTACATTTTATGTTTTTATTATTATTATTATTAGCATTAAACACGGGATGTTGAAACAAGTTGTTTGCAACACATTTGAATGAATGTCAAGTAATAGGAATGCATGTAGCTGAAGGTGCTTTGCTCATCATTGCCTTGTCCTCATGCGTGTTCGGAAAGATTGCGATGCCACATTGCTGTTGGGCAGCTGAGGGAGGCTCACTGTGGGTGATTTGCAGACACCTTTGGAGTGCTGTGCTTAGCACGCTGCTCTATTAACCTGTTGTCCGGAATTCGAATCCCGCCCAAGGCTAACATCAGTGACGTTTGTATGTACGTTGAACTTCTTTCGCACCGTACCTAGCCAACCGTGCTAATTGTAGGTGCGGTGGAAGGACAACAAACTAAACACAAAAAGCAGTTCTAAATAGAAACATTTTCAATCTCGTTTTAAAAGTGCACACCTCCAGTTGGGTGCCCTAATGGAGCGTTCCAGACGGCCGCAGAAGCGCATCTGAAAGCGCTCGCTGCAGTGACCGTCTTTGTCTTTCTGAACGAGTCCTGGGCCCGCCCCGAGGTTGGCTCCACTTCAAATGAGGACCTGGTGTGATGTGTAAACATCGCCACTCGGGAAAAAAAGGCGGCCGGGCGTGGTGCTGGGCCACCCACCCACCTCGTGTGTTGTGCCCGCCTTCACAGGTGCAACTTGCAAACAGCACTTGTCCCAGCCGTGCATTAAAGGCTCTATGGGGGGGGAATCTTTGTTATTGTCCAGGAAAAATCGTGGCAATCGACACGAGCAGCCTGCGTGCCTCGATGACCGTGGGCTGGGAGGACCTGGTGCGGAGATCCATCAAGGTGTTCTACCAGGCAGCTGAAGCCAACATGTCCCTCGCACGCCGCCACCACCAGGAAGGTACACACGCACGCACATACGGAATCAATGCACGCACGGGCACGCATGCAAACGTCCATTCGCTCACACGATGCAGGTACGCACATCCACATGTATGCCAAAGACGCTCTTACTCTGGCATTGCACAACAACAGGCTAATGGAATAGTCTTGTGTATGTATGTGTGTGTATATATACAGAGTGGGTAGCAATAGTGCAGTGGTTATTGCACTGCGCTATGAACTCGGTGACCCGAATTTTATCCCTGCTCATGGTCGGCCAACACCAGTGATGATTAACTGGTTCTGAGCCTCCCCTCGGTCGACTCGGCCTCAAATGAGTACCTGGTGCGGTATGTAAACATCGCCACTGGGGAGACAAAGGTGGCCGGGCATGGTGCTGGCCAACCAGCCCCTCATTCCATGCTGGTATCCATAGGTGTTTGCTAACAGCACTTGTCCAAAAAGTCTGTTCAGGCTATACGGGGGATCTTTGACTTGTATCTATATACACATAACGTGCAGTTTGTGTAGGGTTGAGGATTTATCATCGTAATACTGGAGACTATAACAGATATATTCCTCTCTTTTATTTAAAATTCAGGGGTGAAAGCTCTGCGGCTTGGGTTTTAACTGTCACTTCACAAAAGTGTAGCTTTTGACGTCCAATCCAAAATGAACGTGACAAGGTGGAGCTGTTCTTGTAATTTATCTTTGCGGTGATTTTAATTGGCCTCTGCAAGTGCTCCATTCGAATCAGAAGGTTTCAAGTTCACCGTAAAATCTGTCATTTTGTATGGAAGGCAACAGTCGCAGGCGTATGGAGGCACTGGGGGGCCCCCCACTTTAAGAATGTGGTATTTTTACCACTGCCTCATGCAGCCCATGGAAGTGAGCTCACCCTATCACTCATATTAGCACGGAGAAACTTTAGACTTTGACTTGGGGTGGAGCTGTGACCGAGTAGTTGGAGCACGGCGCAATGAACTCGCAGAGTCGAGTTCGATCCGCAACGACAGCTCGTATCTGAACCAGTCCTGGGCCTAGCCTTTCCCAACGCACACTGACCAGTTTGGTAAAGTCATCATGTTATAACATTGTATTATTGTTATTATTATTATCTATAGACAGCTCTATACACAACAATAATCAATTGCCGTGTTGAGTAATATACAAATAAATACATTATTATAAAATAAGCATCTAGTATCCATATCTTTGCTTATACATATATGGTCAACACACCCCCATGACTAACATGGCATTGGGAGAACTCGGGGTTGCACATTATTACCACAGTAAACTCTCGGCAGATTAATCATCCAGGTTGTAGATTAACCCTGCTTAAACCAACTAAGATATATTTACATAGACGCTGGTTTAATTATTCTCTGATTCTCACAGCAAGCACTTCAGAAAGTAAATTGACTAATTACAGTCAAAACAAAATCATCCTTTCTGTGTCTTCGCCCTCATTCTAAACAGGTATAAGCAATAAATGCGGTTTATAGCCTCACGTACGCGTGTCTTTAATTGTTTTATTATCCGGGAAACCCTTCGTGTTGGTTTTTGTGGGTGTGCTGTATGGCTTTGTGGTGTGTTTTAACGCTGTGCTACCTGTGAAACACATTGGGCAGCTGGCTGTATTACTTATAATTGAGCTTATCCACCCTCGACGTACACTCTAACAACTGTCGTGCCCGTACGCTCTTTGTGTGTTTCCTCTGCATCGGCGTTGGGAACTGTCCGAAGTTAAAACTTGTCGTCGGCACATTGTGGTGGCGCCGACGGCTTTGGCCACGATGACACCGTGATCTGATCTCATGTGTGCATGTGCGTGCGTGTGTGTTCGTGCGCGTGTGTACACGCGTGTCTGCGCACGTGCGGGGTGTGCAGTGATGATGAAGGGCATGGCGACGAGTCCGCCGTACCGATTCCAGCTGGCGGACGGTACCGTGGTGATCGCACAGACCAAGAGCAAGCTCTTCCGCAACAACGCCACCACGCAGCCGCACATGGTGCAGTCCATCCACAACGTTGTCAGGTCGGCTTGGCTTCCACGCTCCCCGCATCCTCTTTCCATGCCCAGCCACAGCAAGACGGAAACTGTCGAGTGGAATTGCGGAAATCTGCAGTCTGCCGGCCGGATTGGACCCATGACTTTGTTTAATCCGGCCTGCGGTGACATGAGGCTGTAGACAGCTTTTGTCAATGCATGCATCGTTAGCCATGTTAAATAGGGAAATGGAAGGGGAAAATGTTAACTGTATTTCAGATTTTTAGCCCGCTCATTCACTTCTGTTGTTGTATTGACCCTGGAGGTACGATGAGCTCAATCGACTCCGGAAATCAAGATTTGAATGCACAGCCTTCGAATTGTTAAACAAGCCATTTGCTGCAGCACCGCCTGAGATATTGATAAACTTTGTTAATCATGGGATAGTGCTGGTTGCAAATGCATTTTCGTAAATTAATTGACAACTCTTATGTGTGTGTTTATATATTTTATTTGATCTCTTTCAGAGAGAAGTCGATAATTGGCCAAGACACAATGGCACAGGCAGTTGGAGCTGGGAAACAAAACAACAGCAACGTAATGGTCAATAGCAGCCAGCACCAACACCTGCCAGGCCAACAGCCGATGTTACCTGTTGGTTCCAGCCAGGAACAACATCATCAACAGCAACAGCAGCAGCAACACCAGCAGCAACAGCAACACCAACAACAGCAGCAACACCAACAACAGCAGCAACACCAACAACAGCAGCAACAGCAACACCAACAACACCAACAACAGCAGCAGCAACAGCACCAACATCACCAGCAACACCACCACCACCAGCAGCAACAGCAGCATCAGCAGCAACAACACCACCAGCCAGTCAGCAGCCAAGGCTACAGTACATCTAATCCCACAGGCCATCCTACAGGCCAGCCCGGTTTCTGGCGTGCACCGGGCAGGTTTGGAGGGCCTAACGATGCCACGATGGGCAGGAGCCCATCGGCAGCGCAAGCCAACTCGGTGGGCCACCGTTTTGGCGGAATGAACGGCGGCGAAGGGGCGGTCAGCATGGCCGGCGTCATGGGTAACCAGGGCGGCACTAACGTGAGCGTGGGTGGCAGCCCTGCCCGAAGCAGCCCCGGCGCGATGGTGACGCAGGCCGCGATGATGATGTCGCCGAGGCAGAGGTGCAGCCCCGGCGCGGCCAACCCCGCGCACAGCAGCCCCCAGGGCTCGTTCGAGGCCCCACGGATGCCGTTCTCTCCGGTGAGCGCCGGCTCGACAGGCGGCATGCGCTCGCCCCAGGCTATGGGGAACATGCGCTCGCCGCTGGGAGCCATGAACGCCGGCAGTCGGGGCTGCGCCGGTGCCGCTCAGCCCGGCGCGGCCGCGGACGCCCAGCCCGGCGGTTTCGGCATGGCTAAAATGTCGTCGCCCGGCCAGAGGAACGTCGGCGCGGCATCGTCCGTGAGCGCACCGACGCAGCAGCCCATGTTGCGCAGCATAAAGGTGGAAGGTGGCGCGCCCACCATGTGTCTTGGGCAGTCGGAGGCTGCTGCCCAGTCGGGGCAAGCAGATTCCCTCGGACAGAAAGTGGGCGGTGGTTGCGGTGGTGGCAGCGGAAAAAACAGCAACAGTGGCTGCGTGGGAAAGGACGGCCCCGCATCTGGCAGCGGGGACTCGAGTGAACCGGGGAGCACTTCGGCCGAGGGCAAGGGTAACATGAAGCTGCTGCAGCTGCTGATTGGCGAAGGTGGTGGTGGGGGCGGCTCTGAGCAGTCAGGAAGGGACCAATTGCACGGGGGCAGGGGCGAGCCCATAAAGGTGGAAGCCGGAGAGAACGGGATGCCAACAAATTCCAGCTCGTCGGCGTCCGGCTCATCGGGGATGACCTCCCTGACGGAGAAACACAAGATCCTGCACAAGCTGCTGCAGGAGAGCGGGACGACTTTGGACGCCGATAAAATCATTGGAGAGGTGGTCGCCGCAGGGAAGACAGAAAATCTCTCCACGTCGCCATCGGCGGCGCTGTCATCATCCTCCTCCCTGCCGGGGGGCCCGGTCGAAATCAAGCAGGAGGTGGTGTCCGAAAAAGAATGCGGCGGCGGCGAGAATGGGATGCCGAGCATCAAGAAGGAGAAAGCCAGCCCCCAGAAGCGAGACAAGGACCACGTGTTGCTGCGGTACCTGCTGGACAAGGAGGAGGGTGGCAAGGTGCAGAAGGAGGAACAGGCGGCGGGCGCGACGGTGAAGGTCGAGGAGTCGCCCACGGGAGGGTGCAGCGGCTCGCGATCAGCGGGTGCCGACGCATGCTCCGTGAGCAGCAGCAGCGCCATCAAGACGGAGCCCGCGGAGAAAGAAAGAGTTGCGTTTCCTTTTTTCACTTTTGAGCGGGTCACGAAACGAGTGATATTGAGCGATAGCTTCGGTTAGTGGGGAATAGCGAATGAGTAATAACGGGTTATCGCTTCACGTCGTCGTGAGATGCATTTTTTTGTGGAGCTAGGGCAGGTGGGTTAAATATGAACGTTTTATTTTGTGATGATGTTTATGATTCAACGAGAGTCCAATGTCACTCTCCGATGTGTTTTTTTGGGTATAACGTTCACTGGTTCTCGGCACGTGCCGGGAGCGCCGGACCTCATGCCGAACTACACACGTTACAAACTCGAAAAAACATATCCAGCGCAATTGCAAAAGTCAATCCCGGCATCCTCCAAGAAGGAACTACTGGAGTGTCTCTTATCTCCACTGAAACATGCGTTTAGTGTTTCTCCGCTGTACATTTCCATGCGTTAGGCCACTTCGTTGAGCTAGCATTAGTGATAACCGAGTCGCTTCTAAAAAAAGAGCTGTGTAGGCTCAGTGGGCCTTACCTGGTAAAATAAATAAATATGGATCGTTCCATTGGGGGAGCAATGGACGATTCAATTTATAACACTTACACACTTGGAAGGAAAATGCGAAAAAAACGCCCCTTGTTTTTTCTGCCATCAGATGAAAAGAAAAGAAATGTTGAGTTTGCGCGATAAAACGGGTTCTTGTCTCCTGCAGAACTCCACCAACGACTTTGACAACCTCGACAGCTTCCTACGGAGCCTGACGTCCGACGCGGCTGTTCGGGACGTGGCCGAGGGTCGGTCCCAGGCGGCCACTACTGCGTCCACGCCCACAACTCCAGTGCCACCCATCACCCCCTTGTCCTCGACCACGGCTGGGTTTGAGCCGGCGCAGATGGGCGGCCACGGCGCCACCAGCGCACAGAACAAGCCGTCCGCGCCCACCAATGGTAAGGCGGGTGGGGGGGAGAGAGGGTCGCCTTCCATGTGGGGTGAAAACAAAAACGTTCGGCAGAATCTAAAAACGCTTTTTGTTGTGCTCACCTGTTGACGTAGAGACACGGCATCGTCGTTGCCTTAGAACGCTGCCGTGGATGTTGTTGCAATACTGGACACGCCGTTTCAATCATCCAGTGCGGCCGTTGTAACAAATGGGATAGGTCTACTAGATCTCCCACCCTTTCTGCCACCGCCTCTGTCCATCCGACAGAATGAATGGTTATAGCACAGCTAATCGATCCGAGGCATCTGGCCAGAATAGAACAGTCGGCTAAAACACCGTCTAGAGGGGGGCTCTCTAGACCTCCCTCTCTAACAGAGGCCCTTCCAGCAGCAGTGGCATGAGCGACGAGTAAGTTGCAAGGCCACAACGTTTACTTTGGGGACCCCCCCCTCTAAATTAATGTCACCTGACGTTCTCGCGGTGGCGAGCGCTTGAGAGTTGATATCTGCTGCCAGGTTTTACACCTGGAAAGACTGCCGCTTGCATTAGAGTGCGAGAGGTGAGCCCGATGCCAAGGGAGGGGTCCCAGCGCCAGCAGTCAAATCAACATTGCATTTTTTTGGTTGGGGATTATGCATCGGTGGGAGGGGAGGGGCTGCCGTCATTAAAAGCAGAGCGCGCATGTAAATGTTGCCGCTTCTTATTCAAAATTTCTCATGCAGATGTTCTTTACGGACTGCGTGTGCGCGTGTTCGCGTGCGATTGTTTTGTGCGGTAAGATTTTGGCGCCATGCCCGGCTCCCCCGCGCCGCGGCCATCCTTCTCGCGCTCCGTGTCGATGGACCCGGCGGCCGTGGGACCACGATGCAGCCCCGGCGTTTACTCGCCGAGCCGGCGCGGACCGAGCCCCTACCCTCCGGGGCTACGCTCGGTGTCTGCCAACCAGGCCTGTCACCCCTGCCAGCCGGGGCAGCCTGGCGTGGCCAACAGCAAGGGCAACGCGGGCAGTCACGGTAACTTGCCCGCGCACTTGAGTATGTTTGGCACGGATGTGGGACCGTGGTTACGAATGTGTGGAGACTTTGTTTACTGTTGGGAGATCAGTAGGATACATTGTGGCACAAGTGTAAGAAAATAAAATAATTACGATTGTGGCTCCTGATTTACCAATACATGCACTGGGAAAATTAACTTTCCTTCTACCACCTCCCATACGGAAGCGTTTATAAGCCGCTCTGTATTGTTCTCTAAGCTCGTAATGCTTAGTCCCCCTTGTGCATCTTCCCTGCACTAAACCCCCGAGGCTTCACTTAAACTCCACAATGAGACGCTGTCATTCCTCCGTGCCCATGAGACCCAGGTTGGGCGCAACTGTCTGTGAGTGCTGAAGAAAAAGAACACGCGCTCCTTAAAAACAAACAAACAAACAAACGCGTCGGGTGCTATCCGTTTGCCCGCACGGTGACCGCGCTGCAACGTAACGCGATACACTGGCTGCTTGCATCATTGGCCGCGTAACCGGAACCCGTGGCGCGTGGCACAGCGCGTGCCGTTGATACGGCCACCCCCCCCCCTAAACCCCGCCACCCCCCCCTCCTCACCGTGCCTCTCACGCAGGGGTCATGGTGGGAGGCATGCCGGGGCCTGGCGGCGGTGTGGCGGTGACGGGAGCTGGCATGGCGGTGCCGGCGCGCCGAGCGAGCATGACGGAGGCAGAGGGCGGCTCCTGGGCGGCGCAGGTGTCGCCCGTGGCCGGCGTGGCGAGCGGGGTCGGCATGCCGTCATCCCCGGCCGCCGCCCCGTGTCCCAGCGCCGCGTGTGGCCCCGTGGGCCACCCCATGAAGCCAAGGGTCGGCGCGGTGGGGCGCCCGCTGTCGCAGCAGCAGCAGCAGCCGCCACCCATGATGGGTGAGCGCTTCGCCGACTCCCACGTGGGAAGATGCGCACATCTTGGCTTTGTTTAAAAATGGCGTGGTGCGGCCACGGTGTTGGGGGGGGGGGGGTGCCACAGTGGCGAGATGTTAACTACCTCGCCTGGTGTGCGGGAGGTCGCGGGTTCGATCCCGACCTTGACGACTGCTGTATATTTGGAGTTTGCGGTGTCTCTCTCTCTCTCTCCGTGGTGGTCGCGTGGATTTTTCTCCAGCTCCTCCGGTTTTTCCCTCACACATGTGGAATCAAGATGCATTTAAGAGTATTTGGCTGCTATAAATTACCACGTGATAAGCCACTTCGTTGAGCTATCATTTGTGACCAGGTCACTGCTGAAAAAGACCTGTGAAGGTCAGTGGGCCTTACCTGGTAAATAGTTTATAAGTTTAATTTAAGACTGAATGCATTTTCTGGGTCACTGATGGATTGAAGTAGCCATGTGACAAGTAGCCATGTGACAAGTAGTCACAGCCATTGCGAGATGTATACTGGATGTGGTGTGCCGTGCCGGGTGCGGATTCTAATCAACGTTGCCGACCTAGACAGACTCGACTGAAATTAAGGAGCTCATGGCTGTGTTAATACCGTGCTGCGTGATTAGCACGATAAGTCAAGGTCAAACGTGTGTTGCCCTGTCACTGACGGTCCTGAGGCAGTGGTGTAAAATCCGCAACCCTCTAGTCATGTGAGGAGCTGTGCTCTCACTAAGACATTCATGGAAGGCGTTTTCTGAAATTATAATTGGAGAAATAAAGGCATAAATATAAATGAAGTAATTATCCATCTCAGAATTGCTGACACCATACTCATTGTCGTGGCCAATGGAAATTAATGACAGGGAACGATTGAAGAACATCACAAACAAAGCTGGAAAGTTGGAATAAATTGTCAAGTAAAGCAGATTTGATGAACCAAATAAAATTATTTTTGGAGGGCGGAGACCCAACTGGAAAACCCAACGAATTGTGTGAATCTGCGGAAAATTATTGATAGCAAGCCAATATAAAAATGATGCAAGGGAGGCGAATGAGAGCAGGTTGAAGTTTGTTTGGAAATTGGGATTTGATAATGAAAAACTATGTAGCGGTCCAACTCAATCAGTCCATGTTGCCTGCTAAATAAGTATCAATTACACTGAACAACAATAAAGAGGAACAACCGATCAGAAAACGAACTCAAACTCGACACATTGTACGGAGTGATCATGAAGGTAAATAGGCTTAGGCAGGGCACAGGGCTCAGAGGGATGACAGCCACAATCATCCCTTCTAATGAGCTGGGATCAGCACCTGTGTCGGAGCCAGATGAACTGCAGCATCGCAAGACCATACGAGGGATATTGACGTTGTGTAGAGGATCTTTATTCAGCAGTGGAGAGATCTGGGCTATTGATGATGCTCAAGGCCAGTGTTTCAATGTGTTCAGTAGATCCACTACACTCCAACATTGTATGATTGAAAACCTTCAATTATTACGAAATTATATTCCTCCTGCATTGTATGGTGAACTTATTTTGCACCGTACATCGCCAACCATGCTCATCGGAGGTGTGGGAGAAGGATAAGAAACTCAACATGAAAAGTTGTCAAAAAAATGGGTTTTCAATTTATATTTAAAAGTGCATAGCTCCAGTGGCTTCCTAATGTCGGAAGGAAGACAGTGTTCCAGATGGCATCTGAAAGTGCACGATGACTGTATTGCAGTTAATATATTACAACTTTCACAGATGTTTGTATTGTGCATCATCTTGGCTGCAGTAATATTGGGTCTCGTGAATGTGAGTATCTTGGCCCTAACATAGAGAATACATTTTGGCAGATACCTTTTTATTCTGACATTTGCAAAATTGGTAATGTTGCCTTGATATTGAAATGCTGTTTTGAACCTTTGAAGAAAAACGCATGGCTTCTATTGTGCAGCATTAAATGTTAACATCCATTTGTTTCTGTATTGTATGCGAATCCATCACGTAGGCTTTCACGACCAATATTATTCATGTCAGCATATTTTTTAGGTTAGATCATGTGAATGTTAGAGAGCATACATTGTAACTGTTGTGAGTTTTCTCTTGAGCACACCCGTGTGCTAAACTAGTAACACATTGGCATGTACAAACCTTGGCTCTGTCGGGTGGAGTAGGGTGTACCACACATGTACATGTACGCGATCTAATCCAAAATAACTTGATCGCGAATGCGTACGTTGTTTGGATGCGATTGCTACGTGAGGATGCTTTGTAAATGTCCGTGCTGGTTTCTAAGACTTCTCTCTTTGGCTGTTGTGTGTCCCTGCAGTTCCCTCCGAGATGGAGCTGGGCTTGAATAACTCCCCCTATGGCCAGCAGCCAGCGTCCAATCAGATGCCTCCTTACGGTGACAGCATGATGGGATTGGAACAGGGGTCAATGGCAGATGCAAACAGGTGAGCAAAACTAATATTCTGAACCAGGGGGGTCCGCGACCTGCAGTTCCGGAGCCGCATGCGGCTCTCTCGGGACTTGTGAAATTGAGGTTATTTTTTATTGTGCCAACGTCTCGTATTTACATTGCATTGTTGCTCTGGAAATAGAGGGTTTTTTTTACCGAATTCTAAAAAAACGATTACTCTCCTTGTTATTTTGGTTGCCAACCCCCTGGTTTATGCCCTGCTTATTTGTTTCACAAAGTCAGGCCGAGTCTCAAGACCTGTCGCAGGAGGTTCTTGCGTGAGAATATCTAACCAAATTTGTCATAGTTATTATGACAAATTGTGAGGAAAATAAAGTACGGAGAAAAGCACACGTGAATAAATGGCACGAAAAAAACACGTTCATATCGGCAATCTACCTGCTGTACTACCAACACCTGGCCACCGGTCCACACCACCGTATCTCACACGCAGATAACAGTCCATCTCTTCAGCATCATCATTAGCCATCGTCTGGCCACTGCTCAATGAAGGCCTCCGCAAGTCGTCGCCATTTGCCACGGCCTCACGATGCAACAGTCCCCGTCTGGAGAAGTCGTAGGAAACAGTGTGCACATCTATTATTCACTCCTTTTTCCCGGGCATTTATACCTTCATAATTAATAACTGTGGCGCAGCGGTGAGCTGCACTGTGCGGTGAACCCCGCAATACCAAGTTCTATTCCCGGCCACGGATTACATCAGCGGCGAGTTGATATCTGAATCTATTCTCCTTCTGCCCCTCCCGCACTTTCACCAACCCATACTGACCGGCATTGTGTGAAGTATTGTCAAGCAATCCCCACGACCAATCATGGCTTGAGTAGGCCTTAATCTAGCAGTTGATCGACAATGGGGTTGTGAAGAAAATAATAATAATCGCTGTATTCAGCTTTGCTGGTGCATCAGAGACTCGATGGGGCTAGGTTGCGCTCAAGGGAAAAAAATCAACCTTTATGTTACCTGATCATTATTTAGATTATAAACTGGTTTACATTCCCTTCACCGCTTACCCTACCCCCCCTCCTGCCCTTGTCCTCCTTCCACCGATATATTTACCCACTGGCCACCGAGCGTGGCTTCGTTTATGCAGGAGTGCATTTGAGCCTCGTAGAAAAGTCGGTAGATTCCACAGCGGGGCCCACTGTGAAGTGGCTTGATGGGGCCACCGGTGGGAGTGGGTGGGAAGAAAAGGGCGGCGTGTGAAATTGGTATTGTGCATGGGGGCGGGGTACGACCTACAAGCCAGAGTCGCAATCTGCTGCTTCTCCCCTCCCCAGCAGCACCACCAATGTCCGCAGCGGTAGAAGCAGCAGGTGCTCGTTTCATCGCTCATGCAGCCAAAGGCATGCGCGTCTTGAATCCAATAGCGATTGTCTCCCCCCCCTCCCGACGATCCCATGTTGGCTCCCACCCCTCATTCCCTTCCCCTCCACCACCACAATTGCATTCGCTACTGCTGCTTGTTTTTGTTTTACTGTAACACGTGCAGGGCAGTTTGTTAATTTTTAGCCTCCACCATAGTGCTTGTAAATAAATAATGAGTTGCCTTTGGAAAACGTGTTAGGTTATTTAAAAAAGGTATGACCCTAAGGTTGTTGAGATGGGCTCACAATGCCCGTGTTGGATCATTGCGGCAATGTCACTGAGGTTTCTGGGTTCAAATCCAAACTGTTACTCGGCAAGCAGCAGAATTTGTGTTATGGGGTGTTCAAGTGTAATTGGGTTCAGGGTCTCATCCCAGTGACAATTAACTCCGCAAAAAAACCTAAAATTTGGTTCAGTACTTGATCAATCGATACATTCCGGCTCTGGAAAAGTGCTGCCCTCTGCCGTGTGGACCAGAGACGACTTGAAAGGATCTCGGAAAGTAGAACCATGATATTCGCTTCTGTGGACTGTTCCCCTAACATCAACCATTACACTGATTCGTCAAGAGTTCCTGATGTCAAGTTCGTCTCGTTGCTGCAGGCAAGCCTTCACGCCGTCACTGGACGAGCTGCTGTGCCCGCCGACGAGCCTGGAGGCGCAAAACAACGAGAAGGCGCTGCTGGACCAGCTGGATTCGCTGCTGAGCAGCACTGACGAGGTGGACCTGGCAGAGATCGACCGTGCCCTGGGCATTGACAAACTCGTGCAGGTGAGAGTGTGTAGCTCCTGTGGGTGGGTGAGTGTGTGTGTGTAGCCCGTACAGCTGAATGCGTGAGAGCGTGTAACCCATGTGGGTGAGTGTGGGTGAAAGCGTTGAGCTTGTGTGTGGGCGAGTGTAGGTGTCACTTATGGGGAGCGGTAGTGTAGCGTTAAGCGCGCTTGCGCTATGAACCCTAGAGAACCGAGTAAAATTTCCGTTCACGGCCAACAATCATTGACTATTTGAACCGGTTCTGAGTCTCTCCTAGGGCAACTCGGCCTTAAACCTGATACAGTGTGTAAACATCACCACTGGGGAGACATAGACCTCGAAATAAGCACGGTTGGCTAGTATGGTGCAAAAGAAGTTCAAACATACATTCATACGAGCCAGTGAGGCGTGGTGCTGGCCACCCAAACACCTCTTGTGGAGTCTGTTAATGTATTCGTTTGGCGAGCAGCGTGAGGTTGAAGTGCGCTCGACAGTGCAGCCCATTTACTGAAGGAACTATGGATGAATTATCGGTGGCAACGGTGGGGAGGTGCGGCCCGGATAACAAAAAAACACTGAAAAGTATAGTTACCAACCAGTGTAGAATTCGGATCCGAATGTAGATTGTATCGTCCGATTGTACAGTATTGCTTCTTAAAGTAATCGGTGTACCTTCTGATGTGTGTGCAGTCATACTGGCACCCATTCTGACCCTCGAAGAGTGAGGAGCAGATATTCATATAAACGACGCTTTTTTTGTTTTCATTAGCACAAATAAATCACCCAGGGAGAATTGAAGAGTTTATTGGAACAAGCGTTTACTAGATCAGAGCACGTGTATATTGATTCAAATTTCATGATCATACTATCTTCGAGATCCTGCATGGACTCATTCCTGCTTGGCTTTTCGTCACACTCCGCGTATTCTCCTAGCTCGACGCACTCCACTCCCCTCCACACTCATCTGCCACTCCCCTATCCTCTCACTCACTTGCCTTCTAAGCATTCCCCCCCCCCCCCCCCCCGCACAAGCAATCACGGCTTTCTACCAAAGCCCTAATCAACCTTCGCTTAGTGGGGGGGTCGCTTGTTCTCCTCTGCTGCGCTCATTGTCTGGAACTCACTTTCCCCAGCCACCACGAAGGTCTTGATTTCCTGCCCCTGTTCAAGTCCTGGCTCAAGGCACTGACTGCTCCTTTTTCCTCAATGAAATAAACAAGCCTCGTGTTTCTCTAGTGTCCTAAATGCAGGATGTGGGCGCTATATCAATCGAAATTGTATTGGAAATAAAAGTAATATTCCATGGCAAAATTGGAAAATTTTGATACTGGTGCGCCATAGTGGAAAGATGTTAACTACCTCGCCTGGTATGCATGAGGTCGTGGGTTAGATTTTGACCCTGACGCCTGTATATTTGGAGTTTGCATGTTCTCCTCATGGTCGCGTGGATATTTCTCCGGGTCCTCCGGTTTTTCCCTCCACATTTAGAATCAACATGCGTTTAAGAGTACCATATTTGGCTGCTATAAATGTCCACGTGACAAGCCACTTCATTGAGATATAATTTGTGATAGCCAGGTCGCTTTTGAAAAAGAGCTACATAGCTCAGTGGGCTTTACCTGTTTAAATAAAAAGTAAAGCATACTCGGTTAACGCTATCTGACATAACGTTAGAGGTTAATCCTTTTTAAATCCTTTATATTAAGTTCGCGTGCTTGCTTGCTTGCTTAGGACCGTGCAAATCTTTCGGTCGTTTTTTAACCCACTTCCCGTGATCCAATCGAGCTGACATTTTCCACACAGACTCGTTGTGCCAGACAATTGTTCGTGAAAAAAAAATCCAAAAATTTTACACTTTTTAGGCAAAAAAAATGTATTTTACATATATTCAAATAGAACGTATTCATGGCTTTGGCTGAACGTCAGAGTGTAAGAGCCCAGAGCGTAACCCCTCCACAGGCCGTGGCGGAGTAGCGCAGTTGGTAGCGCTCTCGCTTCCCATGCCAAAGGTCGCGGGATCGATCCCCGCGTCCTCCACAGGCGAATATATTTTTAAATCCTTTATATTAAGTTCGCTTGCTTGCTTAGGACCGTGCAAATCTTTCGCTCGTTTTTTAACCCACTTCCCGTGATCCAATCGAGCTGACATTTTCCACACAGACTCGTTGTGTGTGACAATTAATTTTCGTGAAATTTTTTTCTCCAAAATTTTACACTGTTTAGGGAAAACTAATTAAATATTTCATTACCAATTGCTTAATACTGGCAGACAATCATCTGACCCATAGATTGCAGCCATCTCAAGCCAGAGGACGAGAGAACTCTAGCCGCCACGCATATAAAGGATTTATAGTGAAAAACTTTGTTTTTACGGGTTAATTTTTTCTAGGGGCTCTACAGAGCTCCTTATAGTGGAGGCCCTTCTGCCAGCAGTGGTGTGAGCAAGAGAGGGCTTCCTCCACGACTTTGTCTTCACCATCTGAATCAAAGGCTCGTCGGCCAAAATGTTGATATTTTACATTGGCTGTAGCGCCCTTTTCTTCAGGACAGTGTAAAGAATAAGTATTTTATTACAGAATAATTCACCTAACAGTTTTCGATACAAGTTTCATGAAAGCAGAGGCTTGACACAGCCCATCTTTTGCCCTCCATCGCGTTACTGGATTAACAATTTAAGATTGCAGAATAATTTAAGATTGCAAGAATAGAAATATCGTCTTTAGACTGTGGTGTTGCAGTTGCTTCTCTTGTAATGTTTTTTTTTATATAGTGAAATGTCATATCTTAGGAATTCCTCCAGGAACATTAACATGAGCCAGCATCACTGTGGGAGGTGACCAGTGGTTGTTCTGTCCAATTTTTTTTCTTACCACTCACTTATGGCCAAAATAAAAAAAATAGCCTGGCTTATTTATTGCTTTGGTTAAGCAGGGAGTCTCTTTGTTTTGAGGTTCAGATAGTGCCAAGGTGCTGATTATGTGTGAGAAAATAGCACCTGTATCACCTGTTTATAAGTCTGCTGCTGGATGAGGGTCTTCCACGCGGCATGTGGATTGTGGGAGTTACTTGACTGTACTTTACCACACTGGTCAGGGTTGGTGAAGGTAGGGAGCATAGACGTTGGAGCATAGTACAGTATAACATCAAAATCAGTGTTAATGTTACCAGTGTTAACCTGTGCCACATTGTATCGAGCACGTTAAGCAATTATTATTTTCGTCTTTGGTTATAACTTCCTAGAATATCAATTCCATCTGTGGAATTGAATGCAACAAACCGTTGGCTAGTACGGCGCACACATGGAAATGCTGACAGCTTTGCCAAGCCAGTATTATTGAGGTTTCACTGACCTCGTTGATGACATTTTGACCGAGAATCTGGCAGCGAATAGCACCGAATTGGCATCCCTTGCGCGGCCCTTCGTAGAAACAACGCTTTCTCAACATTTCAACGGATCCGCATATCTGGTTTCTCAGTCCTAATAAAACGACAAAAGACTAACAATTATTATTCTTTGTTGCGTGCATTTGGCTTTTCTCTTTTCCCATCTTTACTCCAGCAGAGTGGAATCTTGGATCTGCTGCCAAACCAGCAGCTCAAGGGTGGCGGCAGCAGCGGCCTCCCCATGGAGATGGTGATGAGCCTGGACCAGAAGGCCAAGGCCATGTACGCGGCGGCCGCTGCTGCTGCGGCCGCCGGGCAGCCGTTCGGGGCCCAGCCAGCCGGCTACCCCCCCCAGAGCCCCCGCATGGCCGGTCCAGCCACCATGGCTGGCTACATAGGGGCCTCGTCGATGAGGGGCCCCCACCCGGGCGCCAACGCAGCCCAGCTGCGCATGGTGGGCAGCAGGGCGCCGTTACCGCCGGGGCAGCCCAACGCCAACGTGCAGCTCCGCATGCAGCTGCAGCAGAGGCTGCAGGCCCAGCAACAGGTATGTGTGTGTGTGCGCGTGACGCTATGGTTAGCGCGCTGCGCTATGAACCCAGGGACCCGAGTTCGATTCTTGCTCCCGATCACGATCAGTAACAGTGGTGAATATTTTAACTGGTCCTGGGCCTCCTCTAGGTCGACTCAGCCTTAAATAAGTACCTAGTCCGATGTGTAAAACATCGCCACTAGGGAGACGAAGGCGGCCGGACGTGGTGTCGGCCACCCACCCCCTCGTGTGCCGTCCCCCAGTCTTCATAAGTGCTCGCTTAACAACACTTGCCCCAACAGTTTGTTCAGGCTATAGGGGGTGATCTTTGTTGTCTTTGTGTACGGTCTAAAGCGGTAGCAGTGTTGAGCACTGCTCTGTTCGAAGCCAGCGACCTGGGCTTCTCTTATGTGACTCGACATGTATGGAGTACCTACCGTGACGTGTTAATATCGGCACTGGATAGACAAAAGTGGTTGACCTTGATGACAGCCATACACAAAAAAAATAATTTGCACTGTGCTCCGTAGTGTGGCAGTGTCAGAGTGGAGTATTGCATGCAAATGCAGGAAGTGTCATTGCGTGCACCACATTGCGTGCAGTCCTTACTACTTTGGGGTAATGAGGCCCTAAGGGCAATAGTGCAATAGTGGTGTCAAGTGTTCCGAAAGACCAGGGGACTGAAGAAGCATTCTTGGACTAAATTGGAGACATGCGTCACTCCATAGTACATACATATGTTCGACTTGCCACACATTAGTCTGAAGGGTCATGCAAGTGTAACCCTGTGGGCCATGGGCAGGCCGAGAGCTCTATGTGGCGCACAGGCAAAATACTTGACATCCATGGTGTCAGCGCGAATGTATTCTTGGTTGTTTACATGCCTTTGCTCCCTTGTACCACCTCACCACGTGTCTCGTCTTCTTGGTTCTTTCGGTAAAGTCACGTCTCGTGTTTGAACCCATCGTGACTGTCGGATATTTTAGACTGATGAAGACTGCGACACCCTTTTCTGTCGTTGAGACGTCTCATTTATCATGAAATATAGGCTGGTGTGGCCCAAACTTGGCATCGTGAGTCTTCATATTCACAGCCTCCTCAATTCTATTTGGCAATGAATGATATTGATAATAATGAATTATAACATACACATATATATATCAGTCCTGCACAATTCACATCAATAATAACATTAGCTTTTGTCACTTTTCCATTTAGAAGTGTTTAGGCCAATTTATGACGCTTATATTTTTTTATGATTGTCAACGCCATACAGTTAACATCTTCCCGCGGTGAAAGTTGTCGTCTGCACAGAGGATGTAGAGAAATGTGACTCCTGTACTGGCAGAGGGGGGTGCCCTGTCCACGAGGCCTCGCCACCGCGATCACCTATTCACTTTGCCAACGAGGAAGAGGGGGGGTCACTCTCTTGTGACGAAAGTTCATTTTCCAAAGTTTATATTTCTTGATAATTGTTTTTTTACCCTTCTATCTGGCAACAAAACTGACACCTTTTTTACAAGGAGTCATGTTTGCATAGACCACAATACCTGCAGCCATAATGCAAACAAAACACATTACTCTGATAATATATATGCACTGTCCTTGAAGTTGATTGGTCCACACCCGAGACAGCTTTCCTTAGAGCCTAGTCTCACATGGGTTGGACCAGATGATGCCAAAAGGCACCAGATAGAAGGGTAAAAAAAACAATTATCATATTTTTTACTGGCAAACGAGGTTCCAATGGTTTATATTTCTTATTTGGAATATTGTAGTTGCTCATTTTGGTGTTGAGGTCAGGAATTCCTACCAACGATCGTTACGGATTTTACTTCGGTATTTTTACGATCCCCTTGACCTTCATTGCCCGTTATTGGCTCCCAACAAAGAGGTAGCTGAACCTCAGCTGGTGGATTTTAACTGACCGCGCGTCGTCCCTTCCGCCGTAGATGATGAACCAGAACCGGCAGGTGATGATGGGGCCGTACGGCGCGGTGCCCAATCCCCAGTTACGTGCCAGTGTCACTCCTCAGATGACGGGCCAGGTACGTGCCACTCTGCCACCACCTCCGCCTGTGCACTCACTCACGGTGGGGGATGGTGGGGGTTCACACCAGGTCGAAGCGTGTGGATAGCGCGGTTGCAGGGTAATATTACGAAGCCATTTAAATTTACATTGAAAAGTAATTTCTTGAGAACTGCTTTTCGTGTTTAGTTTGTTGTCCTTCCCCCCGCCGCAGCCTCCGATTAGCAGAGTTGGCTACGTATGTGCGAAAGAAGTTCAACATTCATACGTAGACGTTGCTATGCGAACGGCCACATGTTGTGTGGCACCCACACGCCTGTAATCCAGCGTTTCGAAGATGAGTTAGTGAAGTCTGAGGAGTCGCTATGAAACATGCTGGGTAGCGGTATAGCGAGTGGGTTTGTGACATGCCTGGTATATCCCTTCTTATGCGTGGATTTTCTTCAGGTTTCCTATTACACACGAAACGCTCATTAACTAAAAGGAACTGGATAAAACATCCCACGTGGTGTGGTCGGACACTCCTTCAACTTGGTGATTCCTAGAAGAAAAAAAAGGGCATTAAATTACGAAATTCGGTAACTTTATTCTAGTAACCTTACTGGGGAGCAGTTAGTGCTGTGGTTAGGACACTACTTCATGAATATGGAAACCTGAGATTGATTCCCAACATCATTGGCAAGTGATATCCGAATCGGTCCTGCTTGCTCTCCGCCTTGACAAACCTGCAGTGACCACCATGGTGAAATATGGTCAAACAACCCCCATGACTAACACAGCATAGGGAAAGCCTTCACCAAGCATTGGGTTGACAAATGGCTATAAATGATTACTATTGTGTAATTTGTTATTTTAATATATTGAAAAATTCATCCTTCACGTACAATATTAGCACATCCAAAATGTTAAAACATGAATGACAATTTGTATATTACAAACATTTGTAGACACATTAAACCCACCTTTTCTATCGGTAACGCTTTAACCAGAGGGCTCACCTCTATTTGACTGCAGTTCCTAATTTATGTTGTCGCAAAACCCATTTACACCAATAACTTGGTGGAAGATTCTTCGAATCACTCCTCTTCTTATACAAGTTTTGCCCTCTACTGAAAAGTGGTGCAAACCTGCTTTTTCCCTCACAAATAAATCCAGCTGCCTGGTGGCCTGAGCCATAAATACGAAGCGCTTGTTGTGTGTAATTCGTTGCAAACCAAAGGCGGCAGGGTGCAGCCATCTCGTTGTTTCCAAGTGCCTTCTGGGTCCTCAAACTGGGAAAGTGTTTACGAACGTGCACTTTCACAGCAGTTTCCTTTGTTTCCGTGTCCACAATTAGCGCAGTCATCAAATGTGTGGCTTTCATTTTCTTACTCTTAGGTTTTTTCGATAAAGTCACGTAGGTAAAAATTAAACTAAATAATAAAAATAATAGACATAATAATAGAAATATATTATATTTCTATTATTTATTTTTACCTACGTGACTTGACCGAAAAACCTAAAACTATAAGTCACGAAAGCTTCAAATCTAGAATTTCATCTTCTTATTGTAGCACTTGGAAAAATGCCCCCTTATGCCCACTCGGTTCCATTTGCACATGACATAATTGCATTATCGCCACACTCCTTTCATTTGTATGAATGTATACGCATGTATGTTGAACTTCTTTCGCACCGTACGCAGCCAACTGTGTTATCATATTCATAAAATTTGGTTAGGAGAAAAAATGGCTCCGTATTCATTCTCTAAATTCGACGCAGGTTTTCTCGTGGAGAGCGGGAGGCTGTGTGCGTGATGGGGATATTTAACTGTTTTTATTTCTCTCTACCGTCATTAGCAGCAGCCTCCGTTAAACGCGCAGATGCTGGCCCAGCGGCAGAGAGAGCTCATCAGCCGGCACCGGCAGATGATGCAACACCAGCAGCGCGCCATGATGATACGGCAGCAGCAGCAAGGATATCCTCCGGGCCCTGGGGGCATGATGGGCATGCCCCGGATGCCTTCCCAGGGGCAGCAGCAGCAGCAACAACCGCAGACGCAGACTCAGCAACAGCCTCAACCCCAGACCCAGCCCCAGCCTCAACCACAACCACAGCCCCAGCTGCAGCAACAGCAGCAACAGCAGCAGCAACAACAGCAGCAGCAGCAACAGCAGCAACAACAGCAGCAACAACAGCAGCAACAACAGCAGCAACAACAGCAGCAACAGCAGCAGCAACAACAGCAACAACAGCAGCAACAGTATATGCCCTACCCAACATCTCCCAGGGCATCCAGTGCCACCATGTTTCCTGGGGGCATGGGAAGAGGGGCGGCCGCTGTGAACAGAGGCATGATGGGAATCCCGGCGGGCAGCCCTACGGGACGAGAGTTTGGGCAACAGATGCAGCAGAATGTGTTCCAGTTCCCGCGATCAGGTGCGTGCACGCCGGGGCTATCCCTATGCGTCCAAGCTTGCGGTCGAGTTTTGAATTTTGGAAGCATCCTTATTATTGTGTGTTTTATAGGTCCTGTTCGTGTTATTGAACTGAAACGTGTATGGTTTATCTGACTTGTATTTTAACTAAGTTAACTAAGAGTAAAATGTATATTCGATGACAAACTACGGTAACAATGTTGACAAAACTGTGCTCCAACCTTGTGAGTGGACGTGTGCTGGCGCACGTCGATGCGCCATTGCAACAGCCACGCGGCTGTGTAAATACCGTACGACATTCTCAGCAAAACGTCACAAGCTTCGCTTTAATTTTCGATCCGTAAAACATGCGATCGTCCGTTAAATTTGACTAATTCTTTTAAACTTGCTGTCGCCACAATGACCCCCGCCCTGACCTCCACCTCCCCCCACCGTGGACATCGCAAGCAGCCATGAGCCAGACGTGCGAGCCCGGGTTCAGCTCCCCGACCGCACCCGGAGGTCGCATGAGGGCGCGGATGCCGCAGTCTCCGAGCCTGCCCACCACCCCGGAGCTTGGGCCCTGGCAGCAGGGTGGCCACACCAACAACAACAGGTCAGTGGCGACGTCCGGATAATTAATAAAAATTATGATACCGAACTTCCAACAAGCCTTTGTCCTCAAAAGTGCTGAATTAGGGGTAATAACGTTATACCACCTGCAACTCCCCCGCCTCCAGTCGCACGTGATGATACCACGTGGAAATTGTCTTGGTCGACTATGGATAATTATCCTTCAATCGCAGTTTTAATAAACCCTTAGGCCAAATGCCTCAGTCCCGAACAGCAACAAAACTTGATCCTAAAGTTTTGTGTGCATTGGATGGTTATATAGTGAATATTGAATCATCTGTACGAGGATGATGGTGCGACCTTCCTTCAGACGGAGAGAGCGAATGCATTAACGCTTTCACCCTTAGTTGGAAGGCATCGCAAAAAAATGGGTATTTTGGCGGCCAATTAGAGTTTAAAACCTTTGAAGCTGATGTTGTGTTTATATGTACATTTTTCAGCCCTTTTGTCAGTTTACTGCTGGATGAGGGCCTCCCCACGGCGTGCGGGTCATGGGGGTTATTTGACCACACTTCACCATGCTGGTCAGTGAGGGTTGGTGAAGGTGGGCAGCATAGACATGGCAGCATAGAAGTGCAGTGCAGAGATGTATTTTCTCCACTGCCTCTACTGCCAACCACAAAGCCCCGCAAGCCATGTAGCAATCTGAGCAAGGTGGTCGCCCATCGAAGCTCTTATCAGGACTCTGCCCTGCTTAGTGTCCTAAGATTTGATGAGAGCGGGTGCTTTCCCAGACAATTTGGTCATCAGCCTATCCTAATTATATTATTTAAAATTATAGTATTTCTTGGAAATCGCCAAATACGAGATGATGTTACATTCCTTCTAAAATCTCTAGCAATGAGAAATCAGAACAAAGTAACTTTTTTGCAAAGGCACCCAGTGCTGCTGCTGCTGCTGGTGGTAGTTGCGGTTACATCGTGAGCACATGATGTTGAGGCCTCTGTTGTGTCGCCCCCCACCACTGCCCTGACCGCCACCTCTGCAGCGGTGTGTTCCCGCCGACGCAGCAGCCCTTTGGGCAGGAGGGCGACTCCAGCCTCTACAACAACATGAGCATCTCTGTCTCCATGACGACCGGCTCTGCCAGCACCACCTGTGGCAACGGACAAATGAGCATGGGCCCCGGACCTATGCCCATGCCCACTGAGCAGGTACGGCTGATAAACCACGGGTAGCCTTCTTTTTACAAACACTGTATTCTTGGAGCAGTTCGTCGGAGGCCTAGCGATCGAGTGTGCAGGCGGTGCAACTGCACAGGGAGCCCACAAGCTGTAGGGGCCCAGGCGCCGGGCTGCATTGAGGTCGGGTGGGGAGTGAAATTTGGACCAGGGCGCTCCGTTTCATTCCTTGAACCAAGGCCGATGCCAACCACGCTAAGCTGCCGACCGATATAAGTAATCGTTAGTGTCGTGATAAAAAAGCATTTAACTTGCACGTGGTTTTGTCAACGCATTCTGGCTGCAATTCAGATGGAAATAATTTGCTCATAAAATAGCTGCAGTGTAGGACGTACTCAGCTTATCTGACTTATTCACCCGCATTTGGATGGTGATGGTGCTTTCAGTTTTGTGTGATTGTGAAACTGTTAATAGAGGTATGGTTAAATAACACCCATCATCAAGCAGTAGATTGAAAGGGCTGTAATTTATTATTAGTGTGTTTTGGGCAGTGACCGCTCTTTGAATCCCAACAGGTTTGCGCGATATGTAGTTTTGTGTTATAATAATATATAATTAACAGCCCTTTAGCGATCCAACAAATTTTACCACGCTGGGCAGAGCAGGCTAGTGAACATATGGAGGACAGACACGGGGGTATTGATGTAAAGGAGAACAACGATTTATTTCTGCACTCTTGTAAGGTATTGTTAATTATGAAAGTGGTGAGTGAGGTGTTTTTACCCTGTTAAATGCGTACGACTGTGTTTGTGTAGGGTTGACACCAGATTTACTTTGTCTCTTCAAACAGGGAGGTGTAATGAGGCAGAGCATGAGCCAAGATGGTCACTCGCGCTACGATCAGTTTGCAGCCATGTCCGAAGCTGAAAAGGTAATATTTCCTTCACCGTTCATCGTGAGAGTGTTTCACAAAGAACAGCAGCAGTGAAGCTGAAATGCACCGTGAACTGCTCTCCTAGTCGTGATGATGATTAACAACCAGAGACGAGAACTGTGGCACAGAGGCTGGGGTTAACGAGTTCCTTGTGGGTAGAAATAGCGAACGTCAATGCTGCATGTTCACGGTTTATGGGTGTAACAATTAAAAAATTCAAGGTGTGCCTGCATTCAAACGAGCAGTGGGCAATGTTCCTATTGGTGGCACTGGGCTATTGGTGCGTAGTGGACAGAGGGCAGCATGGCTAAATGCATTATCGTACTGTGTACTTCTATGCACCCACGTTTATGCTCCCCTGTTCAATCCACACTGACCAGTGCGGTGTGGTTTGATAACCCCCACGGCAACGTGGGGAGACCTTCATCCAGCAGTGGATTGACAATAGGGCTGCACACGTACATGATGAGGGTGGGGTTAGTACCACTCAACATTGACACCAACTCCTCAGAAATGTAAAGCTGAATAAGGTAAAGGTGCAGCCCTGCAAGTGATCGTTCACGCCAATGCTGGTCAGACATTGGAATTGATGGAAGTACATATCACAGCTTACTCTAACCCCACACGACCTGGCGGTCGGCAAACTGGTGTTACTATTATACTGCTAAAGCGGATTTTTTTCAAGTTAATTTGAAAAGCCACGGGGGGGGGGGGGGGGGGGGAACCGTTGGGAGAATAATCGAGACTGGCCAGCACCAACCCCTGCCCAGCACCAACCCCCTGCCCTCCTTGGGGGCCTGCCTGTGGCGTGCGCGCGATCAAAACAGGTGCAGCAGGTGCAAGTGTTTGCGGACGTGCAGTGCACCGTGAACGTGCTCGGCAGCAACTCCTACCTGAACCAGGGCAACCAGGCGGCCGGAGCGGCGCCGGTCAAGGAGGGGGCAGCGGAGGACGCAAACAACGCGCAGACACAGCGCAACTCCCTGCTGCAGCAGCTGCTCATGGAGTGACTTCTTCCCCTGCTGCTCCTCCTCCTCGTCCTCTCTGTTCTGCGCGTGGGCGCCGAAGGAGCCGGCGCAATTCTTCCGGCCGCAGTCATCGGTCGAGATCTGCTGTGCCGAGCGAGTTGCCTCCCGTGTACTGCGCCTACAACCTCGCCCGCAACCACCTCTCCTCTCAAAACCCAAGGAAGCAAAGTTGCATAGTTGCCGTGTTTTTTTTGCATCGTGCTCTTTTTCTCATCGTATCCAAGAATGCTTCCAGCTACGCGGTACAGAGATGTTACTTCGACGCAAAAAAACAAAAACTCCCCAACGGAGTGATTTGTGCTCACGTACTGCACTACATGCCTATTATGGTGTTTGCTCATTTGCAAAAAGAAAAAAAAAGTAGCATCTCCATTTATTGATGCGTACTATTTTCATAAGTTTCAAACTGCAAGCTGCGGACTGTTAAATCATGAAAAGCCATACTTGTCTGCCAGCTTGGGATGGAGATCCGACTTTGAGACGTCGTTGTGAAGTGTGAACGAATGGCGCAGCGTCGCCCGTACTGCGGCATGTCCCATGAAATGGGACACGAACGTTTTGTTATTGACGGCACAGAGAAGCCGAGCAAAAGGACGAACTCAGGACATGCAGGGAGGCTTCATTATGGCCTGCAAAAAAAAATTGGAACAATTTTTAACCCGGAGCATACCCTCGCAAAAAAATAATTTTATCTCGATGGGTGCTCGCCTGGTTATAAAAGGACTCGAATGGTCGATTCAGAGAGAGTGGTCATTTGCTGGCAGGGTGACCTCGTGAGGTGGAATAGAAAGCTTGAAAAGAAGCCATGGGATTCCCGCACTGCTCCCCCTTCCTAGGGGCAGTCGGCAGACGTAGACGATGATGTGAATGTAGTTGCGACGCTGGATGAAATTCGGCCAAGATGCATCACTCCCAGTGGCAGCACAATCCCTGACGAGCAACACCACCACCACCACCACCAACCCCTCCCTCACCTTCCAGCGAATGCACTAAATCCTGTCTGAATGCTTCATGCTTTCCCGCATTGCTTTTACGTTTCTATGACTTCCTGTAGTTTGTTCCTTAGTTTTTGTGCGTGCCCAGTCTGCTCAATGTGCTGTAAATAAAAATCGCCCAAAACAGATATATTGCTATATTTTTACACTCTTAGACCAAATAAGGATGCTTGCTGTAGGACAACAGAGAGAAAAGTACAAAGCGTGCGACTCGTTAGGGGAAACATTTTCATTGGATTGTGATTAGCGGGGTAGTGAGAAGACGCGAGTACAGCTTTTAGCTTATGCCAGCTTTGTGTGAGCGCAATGTCTGAATCGTAAGAGAAGCAATAATTTTAATGGATTGTTAAAATGTCATTTGAACCGAATAGCCATATTAAAACAGGGTAAATAACGATGCAAACGTATCTGTTCATGCAAGTGTGTACATGTTGTAGTTTATTTTGTATCGCACACTGGAGGTTGGTTGATTGCATCATACAATCCTCAGTCTCGTACAATAGGAGTTTTAACTGACAAATGGGCGAGCATGACTTAATCTAAGCCCGACCGCTGGGGGGGGGGTGTTTTTTTTTAACTGGAAGACAGCTATGAAAACGACACTACACAATACCACAAAAAATGGTCTTTGGGAATGTACACCTGAGTGTACAAAATGCATGTATTTTAATTGTCAGCATAGTGGATCCTATTGGTCTAGAAAAAGCTACCCATGCCCTCGACTCTTGCGTTTATTGGCCTCAATTGTGTAATATGGCTTCCTAATGGACCACCTCTCCTGTAATTAAAGTCTGAATTTGGCTTTTTGGAGGCAGCTTTCCTGCAATTTCAGCATACACAGTATTGTTGTCAGTTTAAAAAAAGTGTTAAGACTGCACACAAGGCATTTGTTGAATACAATAACAATGAACGACTTCGCAGACATGCCGTTTTAAAATAACCTCCCAACTTGCCTTGAATTTGCAGTTTTAAGCATCTTTTCAGTGTACTACTGCGTACGTTTTCGCAGTCATACTGTACGGCTCTGTTTTCAGGTCGTATCTTATGGTCCGACGTTTCGCTCCACGTGCTGGGGGGGGGGGGGAGCTTCTTTAGCAATTGGAGCAAAACGACGAACACCAATCTGAACGACACGTGGTAACAACCCGAAAACACGTCGGAAAGCTATATTTTCAGTGTGCATAATGATATAGCAATAATGAAGTTTTCCCCGATGTAACTAAACCATTACCCCAAGTTTTATGAACATCGGTAATCGCTATCCCCGTTGTAACACGAGAGTTTATGAATGTTTGGCACGTCCCGCTCTGCAGCGCACACGACACAACCTACGTAACGGCGGCAGTTCACTGTTTGCGAAGGCAAAATGTAAGCGTCTTGCGAATTTAGACAATTTGTTGAGCAAGCATACGAGGTCGATTGTGTATATAACTTTAATGTATTAATCAGGAGGCGAGAATAGGTACCGTGGGAATTTTATTTCACATGGATTTACACGATGATTAATGGTCAACCAAATTCATAGTGCGCAATGGCACCACCATCGATACTTGCCGTTTTTTGACTTTTCCCCCTGCGTACTTTGCAGCAATGTGTCATGGCAAAATGCTTGCTTCACCTGTGCTCTTCCGGCCACATATAAACAAGCAGGCGTATTAATAAACTCAAGCCGTGTATCGTCAATATTGTGGTTAGAAAGGAGAGAGCAAAACGTTTCATCATGGGCATTGGACTTGTTTTTGCTAAGTGAATGAAACCGGGGTGATTGTTGGAAGAGCAATGCTAGCGCCATCGATTGCAGATGTTTTCATTAATATATGAAATATATATTTTAAACGAAATGGACATTTTCTGAAAGTGTGTAAAGTTCGGAACAGCTGAAGCCTTTTTTTATTCTTACCGTAGGTCTATTAGATTATGAAGTGTTTTACATGTTCCCCTTGATGAGAATATTTTGTACAGGAATGCTTGTATAGTTAAATAATGTGTATAATGCTTGACTGCTTTGCCTAAAAGAATACAAACTGTTTTCAATGTATGTGCATATTATTATGAATAGAAATCTTCAACTAAAACAAATCTTACTTTCCCCATTTTTTTTTTACATTTGTAAGATGTCCGATGTGTTCATGTCTTGTTGGGAGATGCTTACGAGATGAGATTTGTGAAAAAAACTTCACGATTATCTTTCTCTGGCTTTCCACCACAGGTATGCATGAGTCCATGTACCATTTAAATTGCATTGAGTCCATTTTTGCGTGCATTTCTGTTCGTATTGCATATAGACACTTAAAAGTATGAGGGGGTCTTATGTAATGACTTATCATTCATTTGTCTTTTTACAAGCCCTGCCCTTAATGACTGTTATTATTAATATGTATCTCAAAAGCTCGTGCAGCTTTTACAGATAGAAGCCATTCAAATGTATCTACATTTGCTGTTTTTGTTAGCTTTATTAATACAATGTAAATAAATCTAACAATGAACCAGTGTTCTTTATTTGCTCGCCTTTGTAATGTTTCCCCTTTCGGATTTTTTTTTTACAAAGTGAATCCATAGTGCACTGTGTGTAATCAACACATGTGAGAGGGAAACGTTGCAGCACATTACCAGGGCCTATTTTAAATCTAAACAGTAAAACAAATTTTCAAATACTAGAAAGTGTCCATGTGTTTATCCTATAACACAGTTCGCCCTTCTAATAACTGGGTGTTGGAATTAACACATGTTCAGTCAGTAGGAAGACATGTTTCCCATGACGGCAATATTCATCTGGAACTGCATTTTTCAAACTTATGAAGTTGAATATCGGATGAGTATGCAAATTAGTAATTCGCTGTGATGTACAAGGTGTTACAGCTGATACTCTGAAGTGAGTCCTGACATCTACACTGACGTCACAGCACTGTGCATTGGCTAATGCAGGTCACTAAATACATTTGAATTGGTTAAAGATTTCAGTTGGGCTCAGATTTATTGCCAGAATTAGTATTAGCACATGCATATGAACTGCTGTGACACTAGCCATCTGAATTGGACTTGAAAAAAGTGGTAGAGTGATTGTGTTTAAAATGGCTAAATAACGGACATACCCCTTCAAATCTCTCAGGGTATATTTGTAAGTTTCTTAAGTGTAGATATTTACCACAGTAACTATCCCAACAGTTTCCACGAAACCATACACAATCTGTATTGCAAACGCATCACGGGGCCGTTGTCCATTAATCGATGTTGATCACGAAACTGGAGTCACTTGAGCAGTTTGAACTTCTTGAGCAAGTGGTGCACTTGCTCCTTGGGGTACGGTCGGAGGGCCAGGCACGTGGGGATGTTCTCCGGCTGCTCCACCCACAGTTTGTGTTGGATATTCTCCACCGTGAGCTTCTCTGACAATTGGATCAAGGCATCCTTGTCATCTGCCTGCAAGCCAAACAGCATCGCTGGCAGCGTCAAAAGGCCACATTCTAGAGCAATTGTTTTTAAAATTCATTTTCAGAATTCTAATAAAAAAAAACTGACCACGTGGAATAAATTATTGGCCAGTTTCCCAGGTGCAATGCAGCTGAATGTGACATGCCATGATTTTCAAGATCTAAGTTTACATGAAACCTAGTCATAATGAACGTTTGGGGCGACTTATTATTCATTGTGCATTTTGAAAAATGAAATTGCACATTTATTTTTCCAATAAAACAGTCAAAGTAAATGAAAGTAATTATTGGGAGTGGCAAAGACATTAAGTAATTTCCATGAATTTAACAAACTTCTTGATAAATGCATATAAAATACTGTTAAATTCATGTGCACGTGATGCAAATCATGTGTATTTGTGGGAAGTTGTAAATTAATGGATAAAGTACTTGATTTTAAAGGCCCATAATCTCTTTCCATCTGAGCAGAAATTAGCTGAACCTACTGCTAACACGGGAATATTTATCTAACACGGGAGTTTGAATATCAAGAGGTGCAATGATGCGAAAATTAAACCAATTACAATTCCATATACAAGATTTGCGACAACATTTAGCACACTTTGCAAATCCACTGCTGGCTGAGGGCCTACCCACAACGTGGGCGATTATTTGACCTACGTTTTCCACGCTGGTTGGTGAAGGTGGAGACCACATGCGTGGCAGCAGAGAAGTAACAGTACTCTACAATGCAATTCAGCTGCACTGACTTATGCCGTCTACAATCACACGAAATGTCCCCAAACTTGGAAGCTAATCAGGTTTGAGCCGAGATAGTGTGTGGATGGGCTACCACCGCGTATTTTTATTAAGGCCCACTGAGCGACCTAGCCGCAAATGATAGTCCAACTAAGTGGCTTATCATGTATACGTTTTAAAGCGGCCAAATACTCTAACCGCACGTTGATTCTGAATGTGGGAAAAACCGGAGGACGTGGAGAGAAAAAAATCCACGTGACCACAGGAAGAGTGACACGCAAACTACAAACATACAGCCGGTGTCAGGGTCTGGATAACAATTTTCAGAATAGATGACAGGAAAACCGAATGTCTTGGGGGCTCGGTTGGTAACCGACTCCAATTGAATTATCGTAACGAATGATGCATCAATTTTTAAATTGCCGCGCCGGGAGATGGTACAGCACCGGCGACCGCTGCATTGCAAATTCGGTGTACTGCTAACCATTATAATAACGGTAGTACCCTTCTTACATGTCTCGGTTAAATGGGTGAACGTGTTATGTGTATTGCTCTAGACATGTTATTACGTGCAGCAAGCCGGTAAAGTTTTTTTGTTACCGGTTTATTATTGCCGGGAAGGCAAGTCAACACATACGACACCCGACTCGGGCAATTGCTTCATGTTACAGGAATAAACCAGATCCACGAGAATGTAAAGGTTTCTGTCACTCCACCTGCTGCATGAAAGCCTCCCCACGCCGTGGAGGTGATTTGGCCATACTTCACCACGTTGGTCTCAGCGGGTTTGGCGTCGGCGGTGGGGGAAGCAGAAACGGTTTCAGATGTCATGTTGTTGATACGTTACATTTATTTTGGTAAGGTGATATAACGAACGCCCCTATCATCTACCGTCCCCCCTTTAACATTACCCTACAACCAGTATTCCGTGGCTTTATATTCTTCAACGCTTGGACAAGAGCGGATGAGGCACTGAGACGAGTTGGATTAGAGGCGTGGGTTGTTGGGTCGTGGGTTCACATGCGGTCAGGTGCAACTGGATCTGGTTTAGGGGTCATGTGCAGTCGCGTTCAGAGAGGTCAAAGCGGATGTGATCATGTGGGGGTCGGGTAATGTGTCGTCAAAAGGACCGGGTGGGTGTCAGGTCACATGGAATTGGGTCAGCTGAGGTCAAGATACCATCGGTTTTTTTTGGGCCACACAGGGCGTGTGTATGGGCCCGAGGTGAGGAGCGGTGGTGCAGCGGTTAGCGCGCTGCACTACGAACCTGGCGACCCGGGTTCGATTCCCGCTCACGGCAAACACCCAGTGACGATTATCTGAACCGGTCCTGGGCCTCCTCTAGGTCGACTCAACCTCAAACGAGTACCTGGTGCGGTGTGTAAACATCGTGTACCGTTCCGGCCTTCATAGGTGCTCGCTAACAGCACTTGCCCCTACAGTCTGTTAAGGCTATATGGGGGATCTTCGTTGTTTGAGGTGCATTATAACGTCGCACCTGCAGCACCACCTTGTGCATCGTGTCCAGGTCGCCCAGGTAGCGCTGCGTGTCCGCCTCGGCGTAGTAGAGATGCAGGGCGGCGCTGCACGCGTGGCACGCCTGCGCCACCAGCGCGCCCAGCGGCCAGCCCAACCCGCTCTGCAGATCTCCCAGCACCACCACGTACTGCACCAGGCGGCCCGACATCGCCACGCAGCGTGGAGATCTTACCCACACACTGGTTCCTGTCCTTGGCTTCTCCGCCCCCTTCGTCTTCCTCTTCCTCCGTACGGCTGATGACGATGCAATTCCAAGCCAGAACAACCGCGTCACGGGAGTAATTTGTGGGAAGAATTACGAATAGAGATCTTACCGCGTTGCTGGCTCTCTCTTAAACGCCACCGACTCTTTTTGTTTTGTTTTCCCCGCGCCCGTCCGCTGCCGCCTCCTCTCTGAGCGACTGCTGCACAGAAGTAGGGACCAGGCGGTGGCGTGTGTTGGAACGTGGTGGAGCGCGGTGGAGTGCGGTGTGCGAGCGGCGTGGTGGCTGTGTGTGGGAGTGCGAGCGAGACACGTGGAGGCGCGACCGCCGAGACAAAGTTGGAAGAGGCAGAGAACGTCCCGGGCGGCCATCTTGGGTAGGGAGAGCTTGCCCCGTGCGGCTCGCTGGAGCAGGGGGCGTGACGTGGCCCAAGCGGCGACAGCGACGTGCGCGGCGCCCCGCCCACAAACTCCCCCTTAGCAAGATGGCGGCGAAGTTGACGTCGCCTAGATTATGACGTCACCCGCGAACGGAGTCTGAATATTTATTTGCCGGAGAAATCCGTGGAGCTTTAAAGCGTTTTCTTCTTATTCTCACGGATGTACAGCAAAGGGGCGGCTCGGAACGTTAACAACAAGAACACACAAAAAACGCGATAGGAGCGCAAATTATAGGAAAAGGTAAACAAATCACTTACAAAATATCTCACCAGCTAAGGCTCACTATTAATTTATTTTAGAGAAGCGATCTGGCTATCACAAATTGTTGCCCGACCAAGTGGATTATCATCATTACCACCACCACCACATGGAAATGTATCGCAGCAAAAAAATACCAATATAAACAGTGTGGAGGGAAGGGATCGATACAAGAATCTCATTGTCGATTCTTTTGGCATCGATTCGACCGAAGCGATTCCATAGGATTCCAAAGGAACGGCGGAGGGGGGGGTCACCGTAACCTGGCGTGTGATTGGCCGCTGCCGGACCACGTGCGCGGCGCCGACCAATAGGAGCCGCGGAATCGAGTTTCCCGCGCGTCGCGTCTCGCGCCTCGCTTTGAAAGTGAGAGCGGAAGTCGGCGTCGACTACAGCCGCGGTAACGACAGCCTCGCTCACACACACACAGACTCACTCATACACACAGATTCACATACACACATACACCAGCCTTACTCACTCATACACAGCCTCGCTCACACAGACTCACACACACACAGACTCACTCACACACACACAGCCTCACTCATACATACAGATTCACATACACAGAGACTCACTCACACACACAGACTCACTCACACACACAGACTCACACAGACTCACTCACACACACAGACTCATACATACACACAGCCTCATACATACACACAGCCTCATACATACACACAGCCTCATACACACAGACTCACACACAGCCTCATACATACACACACAGCATTACTCACACAGCCTCATACACACAGACTCACACACAGCCTCGTACATACATACACACAGCATTACTCATACACACAGCCTCGCTCACACACACACAGCCTCACTCATACACACAGCATTACTCATACACTGCCTCGCTCATACAGCCTCGCTCATACACACAGTCTCACCTACACAGCCTCAACAATACACACACAGCCTCACTCGTACAGCTTTACCTACACCCATACAGCGTCACAGTCTTATCATTTACAACCTCAACCATCCAAACAGCCTCGTCCGCCTAAACCCGCAGCTTCGCACATCCACAACTCATCAAATCGCGTAAAGAATCATACTTCAGCTTCACGGCCCAACACCGCAGCCTACATCCCCAATAGATATTAATTCGCCCTCGTATACATCGTCACCTCCAGCCTCACCCATCTACAGCCTCACCGCCGTGTGTGTGTGTCAACACACCCCCTCTTGTTAAGTCTCACCCACTCGCCTCGTCCCCAATACAGCCTCGCAGAGTGTAGTTTTGTTTTACATCTCTCGCCTCCGCACTTTACAAAGGGATAGAGCTGGCCGAGAGAAGCCGTGGCTGCGATGGAAGAGGCGAATTCGATTCTCAATCGAGGTAAGATTTGGATGACTCTCTCACTCGTACAATAATTAATCGATGCACTTCAGAATGTGTGTTTTTTATTGTGGGAAGGAGCGTCGGATCTCTGCACTGTGTGTCTTCGACATAACGTGGGCGGATAATGAAATATGCCCGCATATAACCACGGTAAGGTCACTGCTGTCGTGTTGTTTTGTTACGTTAGAACCTGCCCCCGGACTGAAAGTCTGTGATAAAAGAGCTTTTGGGGCTCATCATATTCCTCCAGTATAGATAAATATTCTAATTGTGAATAAGGAAGGCGACTTGCGGCTGAGTGAGAATGATGGATCATCGGCCAAACCTCCCCCCCCCCCCAACTCGCTTTACAATTAATTTGATCAAGTAACAAAATAAATACAAAGTATGAAAAAAACTATAGGTTTTTAACCCCTTTCTGGCAATAAAAAGGAGGTTTTTTTCGGTAAAGTCACGTAGGTAAAAAAAGGAAATAAATTAAATGACGTTTCGGAGGCAACACAAGCTTCTGTCTTCAGGTGGGACCGTCACAGCAAAATTCTATCTTAGAGGTCTCTTCACTTGATACAGCAATTATTCTTCACTTGATACAGCAAGTTTGCTGTGACGGTTCCACCTGAAGACGGAAGCTTGTGTTGCCTCCGAAACGTCGTGATTTAATTGATTTCCTTTTTTTACCAACGTGACTTTACCGAAAAAACCAAAGAGTATGGACCCTTGGAAGTCACGAAAACTTCAAATCTAGAAGGTGTTAAGATGTTCAAACACCAAATAGAAACATTTAGCAAGGAATCAAGTCCTGCATTAATCTCACACGGTACTTGGTGGTGAACATGCAAACAAACATGCTCTTGTGATATCGTGACATGCCTTGTCTTTGAAACTGATTAATCTACTCCAGAGACAGCAGCCCAGTCTCAACCACCAGTGTCAGACCAGAGAACGCTAAAGGCGAAGAGTCCAAAGAAAATGCACTCTCAAGGAATTCATAGCTTAAAAAGGTTTTATTCACAAAATAAAACCTTTTTTGCCACAACAGACGTGGGGAGACTTCTTGCAGTTGAGTTTCAATCTGAGATCCCAGCTCGACCCTCCGTGGGAAGACTTCTTGCAGTTGAGTTTCTTTTAACCTGGGACTCCAGCTCGACCCCTCAGCTCCTGGTACGCAAAAAGTAACACCTTTATTTTAGCTCGTTCCTCACTGCCTCGCGGGTTGGCACCTTCACCGCTGTGAATATGATGCTGGTTTCTCTCTCTGCCCACTTCTTGCATGTAAATAACAACAATATCATTCCAACCTGGTGCGTAACCTGCAAAGGCGTCATGCAGCAGCTGGACTCGCTGGAGGCTCGAGCCACGGAGCTTGCGCGGCGGCAGCTCTCGGCGCAGAGGAAGGATCACGATCTGCGGGACGCGTACGCCGAAGTACTTCGCCTGCGTCGGCGCAGAGACGCCCTGCGCAATGAGCTCGCCCGCAGACCCAGCAAGGTGTAATGTCATTCATTTGCCTGTCGACTCCATGCGGGTTGACTCCGTATTCTTGTACGGGGAAATTGGGTTTTTCAGGTCCGTGCGGCGCTACAGCCGATTAAATACGGGCACATTTATTTTGTCTTTGTTTGTGTTTCTCCCTTGTGATGGGACTTTTGTAGGATTAATATTGAGATTTATAAAGGGCACTGGGTGACCAATAAGGTCTGAATTGGTCTGTAATAAGGGAGGCACTGAAAAGGGTTTGACAGGTATGTAACGTCCACATCGGGCAGTGGCAGCAGGGTGGAAGCCGACTCGAATCAGAATATGTATTTATACTGGAGGAATCAGATACTACTGATGGGAAATTGCTAATGTGAATTAAACAGACTTTTGACATTATATGGACTCTCGGTAAAAATGTGTGATGCACATACAGAATATGTTGACATGGAAACCTTCATGTCACATTTCTGAAGTAACGTATTGTCGTCTACAGCCATACAATTCATCCATATTTACAAATCTTGTGCTTTTTAAATTTTAAGTTAGTGTAGAATTTGTATGAAACATGGTTTAGCCACAAATTGTACTGACATCTTGTGTGTATGTGAAGATTTTGGCAGATGTGGTAAAGTCACCGACAACGAAAATACCGCGGGATCCCATCATCGAGCAGAAGCAAGCCGTCCTGAGGGCTAAAACCATCAAACTACAATCCATGATGCATCTCTACAGTCTGGCAGGTGGGCAAAGGGGCCATAATACTGACCAGCCCATCGACCAAATGGCAAACACCTGTGAACTCCAAAAAATAAATCAATGGAAGCATTAAAGGATACCACTACACATTAACTCAAACAATTTCCAGGCTCCCTGATTTTGACATAAACTTACAGTTTGCTTTTTATCTTGTCATCTTACAAGAATAATTTCTGCTTCGCCATTTGGTTTGGTGTTGTCACCAAATCCATTAGGATTTAACTACCTAAAGCAACTAAACCATGAAAAATGTCCTTGTTAATCAACACTGTAAATACTGTACTATATGGTTGGTTAATATACCCTTTAAATGCACATTATTGTGCTTATGAGCTTCTAATGAGTACAAAGTAATGTGGTCATTCAGTGTCTGTCATGGTGAGCGGTGCATCCTGAGCTCCATAAACCACATTCTGGCAGTTGTTGCTATTGTCGTTGGTACAGCATTTGTCCTAACACGTTTGAATGTCCTTCATGCCTCGTCTGCCAGGCATTACTGCACAGCCGATATGGGAAAAGGGTACGGTGATTTTCACGCTGGGAACGGCATTTGGGGGCGAGTACTACGAGAGCTACTATGTGGAGGTGAAAAAGCAAGATCCTCCGCGTTTGCTCCGACACTCCTTCCCGCAGTTTGTGCCGCTCAAGGAGCTGACAGAGAAGCACCTGGCCAAGAACCTACAGCATTTCATTTGGGTTCTCGGCGATTACCTCAATGCTTTTGTTGCGCGCAGAGAGCAAGTCGAACGCACCAAGGTGATGCGCATGTCACACATTAGACGATGAACGAAGAGTATTGAAATTGCAATGGATTTATTTTATTTGGTTTGGAGAGCCTGGCTTTGTAATTTCACTACTGACTGAATGCATATTGATACTGCTGCATGCTCATTTAAAGACGAGACGGGACTTTTTATTTGATGAAAGCTGATGTGTCAAATCCCAGTCTGGTTGAAATGTTTATGACTTAATTTTTTATTTGATAACTGCTGTTGTAGTTTATTCGGCACATCGCCTTATGACTTCATTTCGCAATTTTGTATTTACATCGGTAATATTTTGTTCATATTTATATATACAATTGAAATATTAATTTTCATATACAGAAATCCGCGGTATTTATGTATCCACAGGTTTCTTTTGGCATACCAATTTTTTAACCGCAGTATGGAGTTTTGTGTATCCGCAGTTTAGCACAGGGACTGGCACTTGTAATTTTAAATCACCCGCATCTGTATTCCGTCTATGCATCATCTCATTTCCAGCTCCCACCACTGCTCTCTAACCACCAATGCGTGCGTCCACATACCCCTATTGCTATGCATTATTCCATGTTTCTTTACCTTTAATTATTGTTTATTTGCAATAATGTTGCCCTTAATTACGGCCTCAAATTGTGCAACCAAGAGGGCTGGGCAACGCCCCTCTTCCTTCTGTTACTACGTGGTGGGTGAGGCTCAGAGTTCTTTGAAGCGGCCACAGGAGGTTCGGTATCCATCAGATATTCTTTATTTAAAATAACGTAAAAGTTATCATAAAAACAGATTAAATATAGCAGAGCTACCCAGCCACAGCCAAGGCACCAGCTCACCCATCCTAGAGTTCCCCCCTTTATGTAGGTGGAACGCTCTCCCTTCATTATACCATTATTAAATACAGCTGTTCCCCAATTACCTCACGCAATCATCCCGAGTGTGTGTCCACACACCAACAAACCGAACTGCCCCTCCAGTCCCACACAAAGTACCCAAGCCCCAACCATCTCCATAAGGCGTCACCGCTGATCACTACACTTCTGACAACCACCTCCCCATCATCCTCATCAACGTCATAATTACCATGAACTTCAACCCTCAGTATTAAAGTTTCCCATAAGGCTGAACGCCGTTTTGCAAAACCAACGGCGGTTTTCAGGAATGTAAACCCCCCTCGGTTGGCGAGGAATTGCCATAATGTGCATTTTTATCGTCATGTTCTTTTGTTTAGAGCAAGTTCTCGGATATGCTGGTGGGAAGCTTTTCCCACAACGCTGCAATCACCACCATGCACTTCAAGTATCGGTTCACATTTGAAGAGCAAAACTTTGTGGTAGCAGCCCGTCTGGAGTACTCCAGCTTGTTGAGAGTGCTGCCTGGCACCGTCACTCTCTCATTGAAAGGTACAGTTGGAGATTTTTCAATAAAACATAACATCTTTATTCAACACATGGGTTGCAAGGATTTAAAAATATAATTGGTTCTGTCATGTTTTCATCGGGCAGCATTTACAGCTCGGTTGCACACACAAGTAAGCAAACAAGTAAATGTTGCAAATTTAATTTGAATGAATTATGGATTTTTTTTAGATGTTTTATTTACTGTCTTTTCACTTGTAAACAAATCCTTTATTATAATTTGGAAAATGTTTAAATTTTGTATCGTACAAATATTGTATTTAATGAACTATCACAGAAGTCATGATGTACACATACTATATTGGAGTTGGGTTAAAAAAAGTGATCTTTTTTTATATTTCCAGGGGTGCCAGATATCTCCTCAAACCTTGAAATGATTCTGGAGAAACAGGAGCAAGAGTTTAAGTCAAAACTTCTTTTTGAGGCTTTTGGCAATATATAGGTATGACACTTGAGTGTGCTGAAAATATATTGAAACTCAAAATATTAATTATAGTGGAGATATGAAAAGTCCTTGTTGCAGCCACCATCCATGATCTAGCCACGGCTTGGTGAAGACCTTCCCAAGTCTCAATTTTTAATGGTTTTGTAATAAAAGTTATTTAGCAGATTTCATTACCATATCTCCACAGTGGACATCCTTTTCAACGTGCTTCCTCCTTTGGCTGCCACTGTCATTCAGCTCAGCGTCCGGTCATTTTTCATTACCGAGTTACATTTTTCAAAACCACTCTCACCTACTGTTTGTTTTCATCATTTTCATCCCAGTCCACCTTCAATATGCACACACTGCTGTTTCACAGTTTTATTTCTCTTGATTTGAAGCTTTCGTGACTGCAGGAATCCATACTCTTTGGTTATTTCGGTGGACGCTTGTGTTGCGCCCGAAACGTCGTGATTTATTTTATTTTATACCTACGTGACTTTACCGAAAGAACCAAAGTGTATAGTTATATCTCTCCAACGATATATTTGTCAACTTGTATATGACTTGTTTTGCTCATTTTACAAACACCTTAATTAATTTATCTGTCAACTACCCTTATACTATGTTAGATATGTCTTCATGCGGCCTCAGTGTAGCTGTTATTTTTGTAAATGCATTTAAATATTCAAAAAAAAATATTTTAACCTTGGATTATTCGAGCTTAGATGACTCCCTGTTCATGTTCTACAAAACCTAGGCATAATTGGCATTTGATATTAATTAGTCTTTTCCAGAATCCTCTTATGTGGTCAATGTTAGAGAACTTTTTTTAAACCGTGCTTGCTCAGGTGGTTTGTTGGCTACTAAATATTGTTGGCTCTTTCGGTAAAGTCACGTAGATAGAAAACAAAAATCAAAGCAAAAAACCCACGACGTTTCGATCGCAACACAAGCAGTCTACAATATCTTCATCCATGAAGACTGCTTGTGTTGCGATCAAAACGTCGTGGGTTTTTTGCTTTTATTTTTGTTTTCTATCTACGTGACTTTACAGAAAGAACCAAGAATATGAATTCCTGTAGTCACGAAAGTTTTAAGTCAAAATTTGGCTACTAAATGTTCAATTATGTTTCCAATGATCGTTATTAAAAATGTTAATATGTTTTATAATAATCTAACAATGTAATTATTTAAGTATTTTTTTCTTTTGAATATAAGAATGATATATAATTTCATGATTGAGGCATGTCCACTCTCATATTTTTTGTTTTGTTTTGCAGATCTCTTGCAAAAAGTCATCCCGGGACTCAAATAATTCTAGTTGTTACGCTTAAAGAAGTAACCATTGCCCTTTGCAGCATTTAACAAAGAGCTGAACCAGATGGTATTATGCAATTCAGAGAATCAGGACCATTTGGATCAAAATTAGCAGACCTCTTCACGAAATGTTTAGCTGCAGTCGTACACTAATTGATAGTTATGAGAGTTGGCAACATTGGTAAGGAAAAGTCATTTTTAATAAATTTCTTGTACATATGCAATTTTATTCGCTAGTTTTTAGTTAAATCACGTGTTGAAAAATGTTCCTAGCATCTACCTTGAGACTGCCAATCTAATATGTCTTTGGCAATCCTGAAAGCAAGCTGCTTTCCATTCCGAACTCGAGAATAGCTGTACATTTTTTGTAGCCAAGAGCACATGGCCTTCTACACCCATCAGGGTGCCCCCTGGCATCCAGAATCGGGAACAGCATGGTCAAGTCCAGAGAATCGAGCCACATGCCCAAAATGGTATTGGTTGTGAGTGCTTGTCATGCAGGTAGTAAACCTTGTCTTTGGTTCTATGAAGTCATCCCACCAATACCCCCAAGAGTTTGAAGAGATTCGGTGACGAAGAAATTAAGCTGTCCTCGGATGCCGTCGGCGTTGAAGTTGCTGATCCATAAAGGACAAGGAAGCACGCAAAACTTGATGACGTGTATATTTAACAATGCCGCTTTCCACGTTATCCTTGATTTTCATGACTACTTAAGTCAAGCATGACATTAAATACAGTAGTTGATAAATTTAAAAAATACTATTTTGAACTCGAAAAATAGCTTCTTGCCTATGTAAGGGACAAGAATAAAATATTACGAATTGAGTTACAAGATACGGTCCACTACTTGGAAGTGTTGAGGATGTTGACTGCAACAGCTGAGCCGTGCAGCAGAAGGAAGGACAGTGGCACGGTATGGCAGCACCCAATGGCTGTCGTGACCTTGGAGAAATCCGTAAAATAGTTTTATATGACTTCCCTAAAGATATATCAGCTGTTTGTTGACTATACATGGCTTTGTATATATGCTAGATTTAACATATGTTTTATATTTATGCTTTCAAATATTTTAGCATGTATGCTAGTCCTGTTTTGTCAAGAAATAAACTGGCTAACATTACTTTATTCTGTGTTTTCATTTTTAAATTACCAGCAGCCTTAGTATATTATTATCCAAAGTCAACCAAGGTTAGCCTGTTGGGCTTTTAAATATCCCAATATTAAAATGTTATTTGTAATCTATAGGTAATACTTGTTAGTAAAACTCTGCACATCTGACCTGCCCCTGCTGGACATCTTTGAAAAATAACCTTTATAGCTAATCGGATTTCCTCCAGTATCACTAAATATTCATGATTCTGTGAAAAATCTTGCATCACTCATCGGATTTCTTCCGGTAAAAATAAATGTTCTGATTCTCTGAAGACAAGCTTTATCATGCGTCAGATTCTTCGATATTTTTATACACATTTTCCAATTCTGTGCAAAAGCTTTATAGCTCTTTGGATTTCCTCCGATATACTTTTTTGGCGAAAAAGAGCTTTTAAACTCATCGGATTTTCCTCCGGTATAAATTATTTGATTCTGTGAAAAAGAGTTTTATAGCGCATCGGATTTCCCCTCCGGTTTAACTAAATATTCGGATATTCCATGCTTTCCCACCTGATGATGGATGCTTGTGTTGTGCCCGAAACGTGATTTATTTTATACCTACGTGACTTTACCGAAAGAACCACAGAGTATGGGATACCTGCAGTCACGAAAACTTCAAATCAATATTAAATACTCGTAGGTTTTTTCGGTAAAGTCACGTAGGTAAAAACATATAGAAATAAAATAATAAATCACGACGTTTCGGAGGCAATTATTTCTATTATTTTTAAATCCTTTATATTAAGTTCACTTGCTTGCTTGCGTGCTTACGACCGTGCAAATCTTTCGGTCGTTTTTTAACCCACTTCCCGTGATCCAATTGAGCTGACATTTTACAGAGACTCGTTGTGCGTGACAATGTATTTTCGTGAAAATGTTTTTTCCAAAATTTTACACTTTAGGAAAAAAAATATATATTTAATTATCAATTGCTTAATGGTGGCAGGCAATCATCTGACCCATAGGTGGCAGCCATCTCAAGCCAGAGGACGAGAGGACTCTAGCCGCCACGCATATAAAGGATTTATAGTGAAAAACTTTGTTTTTACGGGTTAATTAATTATTATTTATTTTTACCTACGTGACTTTACCGAAAAAACCTAAGAGTATGAATCCTTACAGTCACGAAACTTCAAATCTAGATTTCGATTTAAAGCTTTCGTGACTGCAGGGATTCATCTTCTTGGTTCTTTCGGTAAAGTCACGTAGAAGGGAAATAATAACATAATAAAAATTAAACAATAAAATAAAGTTCGATTTAAAGCTTTCGTAACTGCAGGGATTCATCTTGGTTCTTTCGGTAAAGTCACGTAGAATGGAAATAATAAAATAATAAAAATGAAACATTCGATTATTATTTTATTTTATTATTTCCATTCTACGTGACTTTACCGAAAGAACCAAGAAAATAAAATAAAGAATAAAATAAAATCTAGAATCAAGATTAAATATTCCGAGTCTGTGTCAGGGTGACCCCTGACCCCCCCTTCCCTCCCTCCCTCGGACGCGGTCTCCATGGCAACGCGACGATGGCGGAGGTAGCCGAGAGCCGACGCGACGAGGCCGACTACAAGCGCCTGCACAGCTTCCCTCTGCTCAGGGTAGACCGCCTCGCGACGCGCCACCTCCTCCGCGAAGGAGGAAGGGAGGGATTGAAGTTGCAGCCGAGCGATTTTAATGGTTGAGAGAAGCAGCGGCGTTCGCGCCCTGCGGAGGTGATCGCGGCCTTCGCGGCGGGCGAGGAGCCTCCCGTGTTTCCTGAGTTGCCGAGCCGAGAGGCTGAGGGGGGGAGAGCACCGCCTCTCGCCCCCCCCCCCACTCCGAGCCCGCGGGGCAAGAGGCCGGGCGATTTACTTAATTTGAGTAATGAATTAGCGATAAATAAACTAACTGCCGATGATAATGGAGCTGAATGATGAATAAACAATCCGCTGCTGAACACTGCGATTGAACAACTGCTGAATAAACGAATTGCTGCTAAATACTTCTAAATTGCCCGTATAGATTACTGATAAGTAACGCGCGATTGATAAATAAGCAAGCGACAATGTTCTACTAAATGATTAACTGCTAAATAATGCACGTCTCAACACTGAAATTACTGAACCGCTAAACACTCTACGATTAAATAAATAATCCCAAAGAAATTGTAAATGTCCCAACTAAATAGGTTGTGATAGCGTATTGTGCTTTACATTAACAGGGTTGGGAAGACTACAGAGTGCTGCCACCAATAACATGGTAAAGTGTTTGTGTAGCCTACGCCTGGTCAATGATGAGATTAAACACATAATGCTTGCGAACAAGCGTCTAAGGCCAGAAGACTAAATCATAGTGTTAACGTGGGTTATTTTACAATTGAATCACCGGCGTCGTAACAATTGTCTACTCGGTATGCAAGAACGCTTTACTGCTATTACTTACACTTTAAATTATTGTGTTAACTGTTTACTAAATGAACACTAAACAAGTTGCACACATGTCATTAATAAATTACTACTAAATAAACGCTCAACTATAATGTAATTCCTAACACTTCACGCGAGTTGTACTAAATATTACTTATACTTCACCAATTACAAAAGGCGACTATCAAATACCTTAACTGTTTTATTACAAGTTCTTCCTTAGCACGATATCTAATAAATAAATATTTGAATCTAATAAATACCCCCCGCTTAAGGGCGCTGTGGTGAAAAGGCATTCCGAAGGCTCAGGTTTATCGTAATCACTTTGTGTTCAGTTTAACAGTCGTTCCATTAGAAAGAGTCACTTCGCCCGGCCATGCTAATGTGGATTTTTGTTTTAGTTTTTACCACTGGCTCAAAGTTGTTGACGGAGATGGGAACCGCCCGTTTACAAAGGGAGACGCTGGACTTAAAACATTGTAGAATATGTCATGTACACGTAGTCACGGGGCACAGTAAATGTCGTGTAAATGCAGTATACATTCTATACAGTATACAATGTATTACAGTGCATGTATTCAACCATTCCTGTGTATGCACATCCACGAGGATATGTTGTCAGCAGGGGGCAGTGCTGTTAAATAAAGTTGACTACAGTATGTTCCAACATTTACACCGCGGGCCTTTAGAAACCCGCACTGAACAGGGTGGTGAAGTATGGGTAAACAACCCACCATGACTGGCACAGTGTGGGGAGGCCTTCATTCAGTAGTGCAATGACAAAGGAATTTAATCATTTGTGATACGAAAATATTTAATTATTCAGCATCGTATTTTTATCTGGCCTGGTACCGAATTAGGTATTCAGTATCTCAATATGAATGCCAGTACGTTTTTCTCTTGTGTGCATGTGCCCCAGCACACAGACATGCCAGAAGAAATGAGGACAGAGACCATGGAACTGTGTGTCACAGCATGTGAGAAATATGGCACCAACAATGAGGTAAGTGTTGTTCGTGAATGTTGAAGATGCTACCAATTTATTGTCAGCATAAGGCAAGCAATTTAGAAGTTTTTGAAGGACATGGTCACAAAGTGTTGTAGACAGCCATAAAAAGAAGGTTGTAGTTTTTAGAATGACAATGTAACGACAGAAATTGGAGTAGCACCCAGAAGTTGGCAACTGAGGGGAAAACCTAAAGCCTAATAGTGATATATCATAAGCATATACCTTTGTGGATGGGTTTCTATTTTGCAACAGCTGCAAGATATAGGAGAAAACGCATCAGTTAAGTGTAGTGGCATCTAGGCGTTGACTAGTCAACATCAAACATCTAATTGATGTGTGCTTAAACTGTAATTTTCAGCTTTGTAAACGTTTAGCTGAAAAATGTTTGAACCAATCCAAGATGTAACTTGTAAGGCGGCATAGTTGGAGTGGCGAGAAACATTGTTTGTGTGTGTGGAGTCGACGGATGTCCAACCTGTGCGACAGCTTGCAGCCAAGATGATCAAGGAGTCAATGGACAAGAAGTTTGGATCCTCCTGGCATGCCGTGGTGGGCGAGGGATTCGGCTTTGAGATCACTCACGAGACCAAGAACATTTTGTATATGTTCTTCGGAGGCAGTATGGCAGTTTGTGTCTGGAAGTGTTCCTGAGCTACTCTTCACTTCGCGTCATCCTTGGCACGACTTTCTTACACACAGATGCACACTGATTTGCACTCAGCTCTGGTAATCGTAACCAACTGGCATACCGAGAGTGTTTTTTTAAACTTGCATATAAAATGTAGGCTGATGTGTGTTTTTAAAATTCTATTTCATATGTGAATCATGAAGCTTTTTTTTACGTTAAACTATTTGAGGTTCTGTATATTACATTCCTTCATACTTGGGACCCTGTATCTTCCAACTTAATTGCATCATGGTGTTAATGCTCATTGAAATATTCCAATACATTGTACAGTGCCATTTGCAGATTCAACTATGTTATTTCAGAATACTTAAACTATTTACATTGGATTTTAAAGTGTGATTTAACGACACTTCCCAAATGTTGTTAAACAGCAAAACTGTTTAAATGTTCTCGAACGTTTCACCTTCCTACGTCTCAGGTTATGTTCTCGCCCAAACTGGGAAGTCAGGTGACTTCTTCATCTCATTATTCCCATAGTGACCCCCCCCCCCTCTTACCCACTTGCTACCCCATCTCCTTCCTTAACTCTGCCACTCGCCTCATTTTTCCACTTACCTTCACAGCCTGTTCCACCAGATTCACTTGGCTGCTATCCCACCTCGGCTTCACCAACCCATGCACGTTTTACAACATTGAAGTGTGTTTTTGCGCTGCACGTGTCAAAGTAGAAGTAGGCTTGAGATTGGTTTTTTTATTGTTCCCATAACTATATTTTCAGTTATACTTGGTATCTAACCTATAAAAATCAAAGGAAGTGATAGTAAACAACCCAGCAACCAAGCGTAAACTTGCGAAAATTCACTTTGTTGTACTAAAATCCAGTAAAGTATGAGTTGCACTACCCCAGTCCATAACCACAAGAGAGTGCTTGAGATGTATTACATGCACCTGCCATGAAACAGATTGCATCAGAATATTATTAACTGTTTTAACACCAACTTGGGTATTGTATTTAATAACTGCAATTGTAAAGCAATTTGAATACTTGTTGGATATGAACTATCATCGGTTGTCTGTAATTCCACGACATGTGAGCAGACCTGCATTTAATGATCGTGCTCAAGTGCTCTTTCAGGCGGTATGAAATGAGGATATGATGATCGTATAAAACAGATTCTGACGCTCACTATAAGTGTATATAATTGCACGTGTAAGAATCGACTTTTTCCTATCATGAATATCGCTTTATATTTGATGCATTCGTACCACGCCAAGGATAAAAGAATGGAGTTTATAGTTACAAATCTTAACAATTCCTAGAATCATGGAGAGATTTAATTCCTGTTGGAAGCACTAATTAACTGCTGTGGATTTCTCATGTATGGTCAAAAACATGATGTCTGAATTTATATGAAGTGGCCCTGAAACGTGTTTCACTACATTCTTGAACACATTGTAATTTACTGCGTTTGAAACTTAAAAATAAGCACACTTTATTGTAAATGTAATAGCTGTGATTTGAGTGGTACAATGTCAAGTAATCTACACTAATGTGATCAAATTTTTGTTCAAAATGCAATACATTTGATGGATTAATCATGTTCAAACTACCTGATATCGCATTCATCGTGTGACAATGCGTCGTGTTTACGCTTGAAATGAAATAACTTTTTGTTCCTTTATATACATTTACCATGAATAAAAAGTTTGGAGAAAAAAATGCGGGAATTGTGTTGCTTGTAAATATAGTCGTTACATCAGTTAATTTAGAACATTTTCCAGATGAACTGTCTGCAAGTAATTATTTAATATGGGAAGCGGTGGTTCTTTGTAGCGGGAGGTGTGACCTTCCCCAAGTATCAGGGTTGTAGGAATTTTATACTCTCGGAAGCACTAATTAACTGCTGTGGAGCATATTCTCCCTGTACTTCTTTGTTCCCGCGTCGATCTATGCTCCCTTGCTTTTAGTGACCGACATGAACGTTTCTGCGTGGATTAAATATCGGCCGTTCTATACGATTCCGAGGGGGGGGGGTGTAAAAAGTACGGGTCGCAAACTCCGAAAACTCCGCAAACTGGGTGAACCCGAGAGGACACGTGAAAGATCTGGAAGGGGGCATGGCCATGGGCCACGCCGCAGCAGTTATAAGCCACGTCCCGAGAGGGTTTCCGGGCTGTTATCTCTGGGAAGAAACCCTTCGTCGTCGAGTCTGGGTCCTCGATATCCGTGGACCAGTAGTCATCCCGTCCAATGTGTACATAGTCAACCGTGGTTCTATTACGTAACAAACCTTGGCTGTGTCGGGTGGTGGCGGGTTTAACAACACACGATCTAACCCAAACAAACCTATATTATGGATTACTCGTGTTTGTAATTATCCATCTGCAGTGTTTGTATTTTCTCGGTACAATGTTTCAGTTGCTTACACTAATTCCTTTCAGCCACTAGCTGTCACTGTAACCTCACTCAGTTTTCTCGTTCGGAAATAAAAAAAATATTACACGGAATTCTTGGTTAGTGCTGTCGTGGTGGACTTGCAATCCCAGAGGCAGTTGAAACAACGGTGCAGGTTTCTTAAATGCCCCCCCTCCTCCTCCGGTCTGTCCACCCCACAGCATCATCGCGTACAGCACAGAGTTAATTGAGTGCGGCTTGTACGTATGTTCAACTTCTTTCGCGCCGTACGTAGCCAGCTGTGCTGCCTTCCCCCGCACCTAAAGACAAGACAGCCGGGTTGAGGAAGATGGGGATCGCAGACGTGGGAGCACAGAAGTACACTGTTATTTAAGACCGAAACAGGAAGATTTTTCCACAAATCTGGCTGTAATTACTGGCGAAACGTCAATGGTGGGTTTACTCTCCAACACACAACCGGTGTGCTGTACTAGTAACTAATTGGCACGTTGTGTTTACGTGACAAACCTTACTAATTGGCTGTGTCGGGTGGTGGCGGGTTTAACGACACACATTCACGCTAATCTAACCGAACGCCTCTAATATGGATTGTCTTTGTGTCGTAACACGAGTCTTCGCTGCCTCTGCCGAGGGGTTCACAGTGGGGGCCTCACAATGTGCATCTCCAACAAGGAGCAGCTTGGGCAGGATTTTCTACCGTTCACACCATGCCTCATCGCATGACCGTGCGATGCATTTTGTAATACGAACATCATTCGTGGTGGGGGGAGGGGGGTTTGTTGTTGTTGTTTGATGTTACATGTTACGAAAGAAGGCGTAGTTGCGGACGTTGTTGGTGATAAATAAATAAATGTTTTATCTTGTATTGTTCGCCTTTTGGCGTTCTCTGGTCTGACACTGGTGAGACGAGGCCATGAAGATGTGTCGGCCAATGAGTTTGAAAGACAATGCATTTTTATAAAATAATCAGAGCATGTTTGTTTGCATATTCACCACAAGTACGTGTGGTTAATGCGAACTTAATTCCTTGCAAAAGGTATCTGTTTGGTGTTCTTATTTTTCATATTCTAAGATCGCGTTGCACGTTTGCTGTCAACCCATTCTGTTTGAGTTTCAGGTCCATACGGCGTATGGCAAATATTTGTTTTGTCTATTTGTTTGTGTTTCTCCCTTGTGATGGGACTTTGTCGGATGAACCTTGAGATTAATAAGGGGCAGGGGGTGACCAATAAAGTCTGAATTGGTCTGTAATAAGGTAGGCACTGATGAGGGCTTGACAGGTTTGCCACAGACGACTCCCCCTCCGTATAGCCTCAGCAGACTGTTTGGGGCAAGTGCTGTTAGCCAGTAGCAGCACATATGAATGCCAGCATATGTGCGAGATTAAGGTCAGGGGGAGTGCCAACGTCGCCAACGTTGTGGAACCGTTGGGCCAAAGTCGACTCAGGCCTGCACACTTTGAACTTGAGCCACAGTGACATTTCAGCAGTGGACGTGCAAGCGTTCCAACGTCGCCCAAGGCTGCGGGTTGTTGACCCTGCCTTGGAACAGGGCTGGACGCACCGGATGGCGAGACGGTGCGGCCCTTGATATCTCTCGGTGAATTTGACCTCCAAGGGAACGGCTGACAACCACGGACGCCAACGTTCTTCAGGATCCCGTGCAGCAAACCACCGCAACTCCAACGTCAGCCGTCTGACGCAGGTTTCCCCATCAATGCTACGCAGGCTGCCCTAAAGATTTACAAGTCCCGGTGCTTCCCTTCACCTGTGCCAAATTCCAACCCTGCCGCTTAGATCCTCTCCAGTGTCTACACGATCCTCTACGCTGTAGCCATTGTCCTCATTTCTGGATTTGCACTGCGTTAACAGAGGCTCGGAAAGTGTCATGAGCCAACAAACTGATTGGAAGCAGTGGGAGAGGATTAGGCGGTGAGCTTTAGACAAGGACTTGATGAAACAAATGTGATTTTTCTTTCATGCATGCAATCTGTTATATTAAAAATAATTGACGTCTACACATCCACTGAGGTGTTATCCCTGTGCACCGATGCACGTATTTCAATAAAATAATAGAGTATTCATGTTGAGCATTCAAAGTCGTTTAGTCTGCTGACATTTATTTTGGCCAGTGCTTTCTCCACTGGCAACCAATCCGTCTGTTGTGGAAAATTCCACGGTAGGAGCTAGTCTGTACATCGGGAATGATGGAATAAAAGTCCATGGGCCAAACATGCCTGAGATGGCAAAAAGCACGAGTAGAACTAACATTTTTAAAATTGGAAATTAAAGTAAATTATGCAATAATACTTAAAAATATTTTTTTATTATCACATAATACACTTTTATTAGCCATATGCAGGGACTGGTAACCGTACACATTTTCCACTACCCTTGGCACGAACTTCAGCTCTGGCTCATGATCTGGATGTTTTTGGCCAGTTGTCTGGAATTACACCACAGGTGGCACGCTTATATCCACCGAGGTGAACGGGAAAACATTGAATCCTGACTTAAAGCTTTCGTGACTGCAGGAATACAGATTCTATGGGTCTATCGGTAAAGCCACGTAGATAGAAAAAAAATATCATGACGTTTCGATCGCAACACAAGCAATCGTCTTCAGGTGAGAGAGAGGGCTCTCTCTATTTTTATTATTTTTCTATCTACGTGGCATTACCGAAAGACCCATACTGCTTCTGCCACTGTCACAGAGAGAAATGCCGTCTATTGAAAGGGAACAGATGGGATTTAGTAGTATTGAGGCACTGCTCTCATTTCGATGTTGAAGTCACGTGCAGTCGGCCGCACGTGGTGAATTGCTCGCTCACATCACTGCTGGCAGAAGGGCCATTCACGAGAGGGCGTTCTAGAGCCCCATTCTATTTTGACTGCACTCATTCTGGCCGGACCTTCTTGGAAGAGGTACTCACACTTTACCCCACCAAACGAGGCCGATAGATCGACTGTGATGTACTCCTGTACACGGAAAGGTGGACAGATACGAACGTGAGGGCAGTTAAGAAACTTTAAAACATTTTAATGCCGTTCTGGGAAATCGAATCGGCGACCACCAAGCTTGCAAGTCTAAAGAATCCATCATAAGTTGTTTAAAAAAGAAATCTCGATGGAAAAACGCATTTCTTTAGAACTGATTTTTGTTGTCCTTCCAACCGCACCTCCTATTAGCACCTGCTATCGCATGGTCACAAGATGTTGAATTGAAAAGTACGGATATGAAATAAGTTATACATCTTTATTGCGCCTTCAACAGAACCTTGATGGTAAAATATTATGGCAATCACCGTTGTGATCAATGTGGCATCGTATCACCGGCATGTGTATTAGTCCAGTGCAAAGTTTTATGAAGGTAAAATGGTGCTTTAACAAATGTTGCTATTTTTGCAAAGGATTTTCTGTTTGCACTCAGTCACATATTCACCTTAAGATGTTTTTTGTTGTTCATATTTTTGTTTGTTGTTTGTTGCGGTTGCACCCGATTCCAGAGCCGAATGAGGTGGATGAAATGCATAAATCATGACGACTCACGGCTACCGACCGAAGTGCAAAAGCTTAACGGATGGTGATGAGACATTAACGAGGTTAAATTAAGATTTAGACTAAGATAATCCCGTAACTTTATTTGAGACTCGTGTGCACTGAGGATGGCCGGACATGGCAATTGGCTGTACAGTATGTCGAAAAATAGTTACTGAGTTCATATTAATTATCTACTTAGAACATTCTACTCATGAACTCTGAGATACGAACAAACCTGTCCGTATGCCTGTTTGGACCGAAAGTCGTAAGTTCAACCCCTGCACAATAGATGGCGGTGGTGGCATCTACATCTGCAGAACATGAAGAACCGGTGGCATCTACATCTGCAGGAGATTATACAACTTGTACAGCTGTGTACACGCCGTACAACATGCTTGGAATCGACAGGAGTAAAGTTGGACGAACAAATCGACTTACCTCTTGAACATAACTCGTTCGTAAGTAGTCCTCGATATGGGAGGGGTGGACGTTTTTTTAGCACCAACGTTTAGCCAATGCAAAAAGAGTAAAACTGTGGCTAAAATAAAAGATAAACGCGGAATAAATTAGCACTGCAAGTTTCCGTTTTGTCGCTAAAGTACTCCATGTGGATGCATCTGAGGTTTGTCCTTAATAAAATATAGTTTTGATTCCGTGTTCCATAACAGCTTTATTGCTTATATAAGTATATACTCGTGCCAATCATACCCAATGCTTGAATGTAGTGGCATCAAAGCTCTTTTGTCAATGAGACTTAGTTGACCTTTGCGAGTTCAAGTTCATTTTTAGGTTATCCATTTGTTTTACACCTTTTGGCGTCCTCTGGTCTAACACCGTTTGAGACTAGGCTCGAAAGCCGTCTCTGGTGTGGACCAATCAGTTTCAAAGACAATGCATATATTAGAGTGTTTTGTTTGCATTCTGACCACAAGCATTGTGGTTAATGCAGACACGATTCCTTATAAAATGTTTCAGTTTGGTGTTTTAACATCTGAACACCTGTTTTGTTGCCATAATAATCGTTAACTAAAACAATAAAAACATGCATCGACGAATACATTCGTCACTAATTGTGAACAAAATTAACGCTAGTCACAAATCAAAAAGTTTTCGACATGACAAAATCTGACATCAAAAAGCCCAAATAAAAAAAACATCAACGTTTAATTGTTAAACTTTTATTCCAGCACGCGTTCCAAAAGGGTCCTAACCGCAGTGTGTAAACAAAACTGAAATTGTCGTGAAGCTGTAAGTGAAGGGACACGTTGTGCACGCAGAGACACTGCAATAAAGATCTGGAGATGGTCCAATGATATCGAGGTTAAGTTGTTGTGAACGACGTTGCACGATGCGGGTGCTTACTGAAAGACAAATCATACTGATATAACAAGTAATGACAGTGACAATTTATTACCAGAGGGTTGCAATTCAACCGTTCGGTGGCATGAAAACAATCAGTTGAGATGCTTCCTGGAAAAACACAACCCACAAAAAAATCACATTGTCTACAAAAGGGGTTAAGTGGATGGGATAAAGCGGATGAAAATAATTGATTAACTTCATTGTGTGAACATCTGTGGGAAGAGATAATAAATCAATATTTCAAAAAGTGTGTGGGGGGGATTGTAAAGTCTTCTAATGAAGCTAGCATGAGCTATATGAAGTAGAAAATGTGGGTTATCAAGTTTTTCCAGGACACCCCCTGAGTTACGAAGCCAAGGCCAATGAAGCTGACATGGACATGCAGCTTCTCCTGCCTGTCAAACCCACAAGCAACACTAAGCCTTAAAGAGAGGAAGATTCTACGCATTTCTGAAAAGGCTTTTCTTTGCTTTTGCACCAAGAGTTGTCGTCTTGTGACCTTGAGCAGAATTGCAGCAAATTTTTATCTGTACTACTTGGGGCTGAATTTAATTGTACTTCGGTTCATGGCGTTGGTGCAAATGGCTTCAATTCTCAGAACCCAAAATACCAGCAATATATTCTATTGGTTTGCATCGTGGGCACATGTATTTACCGCTCTGCCTAGTGGCTACCTTATGCAGCCACAAACATGTGCACTGTGATACTCAACATCCAAAACCACTTTGGAAAGAACTGAAAGCGTCGCAAACAACATCGATGCGTTTTAGAGCCATCGGCAGAAAATATGTATTTCTTAATTTCCAAGCACTCTACCGTGGCTTCTGGAAAATGTGATGCAGGACATGCTTTAAGATTGATAACTGGTTAAACTACTTTGTAAGAGCATCCTTGCTTGCAGCTTAATGGTAATCGTACTAATGTCAATTCACTTTGTGACACAGTTACGGCATATAAATCAAATTTCTCGACTCACGATTTCTAAAACAACTATATGTATCACCTGGCCTCAATATCACACCGACAATATACACATCATCTTGTACCCTGCCAATCCCAATCCAAGACTCCCGTGTTCTACTGATTAAATGTGAATATAGTTTCAAATACGATTTTCTAAATGCCTTCTGTTGACGGCCAAACTTAAGTGGAATCAATGAACCCAGAAGCCACGAGTGGATATCACATCCACAGTGCGTGGCACACTGTTAAGGCAAACACGTATTTACCATGAGCCGATGCTCAACGTGGACAAAACATTGAACCCTGAATCAACCATGAAATATGCACACGTAGAATACGTTGAAAGACGGTCACTGCATCGTGCGCTTTCAGATGCGCTTTTGAGGCCGTCTGGAACGCTCTTCCTTCCGATATTAGGAAGCCACTGGAGCTATGCACTTTGAAATCTAGATCGGAAACCAATTTTTTTGAACTGCTTTTTGTGTTTAGTTTGTTGTCTTTCCCCCGCACCTCTGATGAGCACGTTTGGCTTGCGTACGGTGAAAGAGGTCAACATACATCCAGTGGAGGATTGTGATTCTACATGAACGCTCGTTTGGACACGGCTGTCCATTGATCTTACGGTTTGTAACATTACCAGTCGTTTCAACGTGTACTCTTTGCTCCTACTGTGACACGTTGAAAGGGGAAAGAGTGAACACACGTAAAAGGTTAATTATATTATCTATCGTTAAGCTGTATTCATTTAGGATTTAGATTTGTGCAGGAAGACAGCATTTGCTATGAAAGAACAATAATATATACACAAAGCTAAGCATTTTATTAATTGCAGTCTTAAGCTCCAGCTCAATATTTCATACAAAGTTTGATCGCGAGAATCAGTGGGCAAACATCAACAGTGCGAACTCGGCTCAAGAGGTTTGGATAAACATGAATACAATTGCGCGAATAAATATAATACTTTTCCTTCATGTTCACATACCGTACACGCTGCGCTGCCAACATACACGACAGCCCCTTGATGATAGCGCGAGTAAACAATTTCCCTTGTGTGTCAGCAGACATAACGGGACACAACATGCAAAAGGTATTTCATCTCGCTATACGTAACAAGCAACCTGCTTTATAGGTAAGATGTACATCATGATCGCCGTCAACAGTAAACAGTGCAGCGTGGCTCTCGAGCGATGTGGACGCGACGTGTGGCAGTGGGACCGGGATAAACGAGTGACGACGATTGCATCACAACCAAAATTGGCGACCACCGTGGAACGGACGACAGTCCCCGTGCGCGAGGTGCAAAGGTCCGATGGGGTGGAGTGGTGGCGCAGCGGTGAGCGCACTGTGCCGTGAACCGGGCAACATGATTTTTAGTTATTTTATACCCGGCTGCGCGGCTAAGATTCGTGGCAAGCGACGTCCGAATCCATTCCTCGGCTACACCCCTCCTCCCCCCTCACCAACTCGCGCTGCTCAGAGTGTGGTCAAACAACCCCGACGATTGACATGGCGGCATCGGGAGACTTTCATCCGGCAATTACCAGAATCGGTGTGGAAAGAAAAAAAAAACCGAGGTTGGATGCCCACGTGCTGATGGGAACCGCGTGGATGAGATGTGATTGATATGCGATCGCCCCCTCCCCCCACGTGGATTGTGTAAGAGGGCTGCTGCTGCTGCTCACGCCACCGGTTTGTTGTTTTGACATCGTTGCTGCCCCCTGGGGAGAAGTCAAGTATTCACCTACAATGCCCACACTCCTCCACCTTGGAGACAGCTCAGTGTCTCAGAGCTCAAACCTGGGTGGTCCCTCTGCCTCTCGCAGAAACTCCACATTGCTATGGCAGAGATTAGTTTCTTCATATGGCAACCACTGTTGAATTGCCACAAATTGATGCCCACAAATTGATTCAGATTTTAAATCGGACCCATTTCGACGATGGGTCGAGTCAATCCTCCACCAATTAGGATTTGAACTCTCGACATTCCGGTTGGAAAGTCGTGCTCTCTTGCTGCCAGGGCCCAGACACAGAAAGAGCGACAAAGATTGTCGACCACAAAGCATTCGCTGCCTCTGCAGACAAGGTCTTCACACGCTCTCAACTACAAGCAACCCCCCTGCTCACACTTAACTGGACTGGTGCCTCACTCTTCTTAACCCTTTCCCGTTCCGAGACGTCTGCAAGTTGCAGGGTGGGTGTCCTGTTTACCTCTGAATCTCGGACCGCGCAAGCGGTTCGACATAAATTTTATTTAGAGAGGCATAGCACCGGTGTTGATTTTAAAGATATTGTACTCACCGCAGAGAACCGTAGCAACACGGCCGGTCTCTACGGTGGCCTTGTGGGAGCCTCGGTAGCACAATTATTTTATTTTTTCTTCCGGTTTTGTCTTGATGTACACGTACGTCATTGGAACGGAATCGGGAAAACTGATGACATACACGTACGTCAACAGAACGGGAAAAGGTTAATGCACACAGCACTACAATGTCCATCGCATCACATTACGATGCTCACGAAAAACAAACCCCTATCGACCTGTAAACAAGTTGGCCTTGTATACCAATTTTTTTGTATAGCAATGTTTTGGTCCTGGCCAGAAATAATTGCAGTAATTATGACTTGCATCTTTTCCTTAATTGAAATATACTTTCGCTTTTAAGGTCATACGTTACTTTATATATATGTATTTTTTTTTCTTTAAATATCATTTTCGGAAATAATTTCCTTTTAAAAATTTGCCGCAACAAGAAACACTGGTGTACAGGAGTTTATAAAAAAAAAACTGAAAGCATGATTTTATATCATATATATTCTAATAACGAGGCTCTTTTAAATAAATTAATGCACATCTATATTCCTCCGACCTCTTATGAAACGCTGGCTAAAGCCAGCGAGTGTCCTCACACAGCTCAGGAAGCCAAATCTTAACTAGTGGAGGCCTGTGTGAATGACAGCGGAATGCCTGACACTGGCCTTTGCAGCTCCATTATGGGGGGGAACAAACAAAAATGACGAATGTATTAGAACCCAATGCATCCGACTCTCAGCGTCGGTAATGGCCATGTTCACATTTGATCAGGAGCCCCAGGGCCAGTGGCAAGCAGACCAGATTGTTGCTTGCAACTTAAAATCACGATTCTAACCCCAACGATTGCAATTCGCGGTTGCGTTGCGTTACCGGCCACCACACACTCAAACCCCCGCCCCCCCCCCCAATGCCAGGCCCTTTGCGAGTGGTGCGTGCATGTGCTGCACACGTACAAGATTTACACGCGCGTTTGTACAAAATCCACCAGCGCGGACGCTGTACCTGCGAGCACACTGCGCGAAAACGCCGACGCGCAAATCCCCCCCCCCCCCCAACCACCGTCTTTCTCCGAGGTGCAAGTGTCTTTCAATCTCTGAAGTCTCGTCCCAGATATCCGGCGGTCTCGCAGAAGTTTCACGCAAGTTGCGTGCGCGTCACTTTCCTTGGTGCCTGCAGCGATCCTCTTGTGGTGAAGCGTTTCACAAGGTTTGCACAGCTGGTAGGCAGGCAGGCAGGCAGTCGTCCTCTTACTTGCATGTACATTCGTTGAGTACTCGCAACATACAGGTCCCCCATTATGTCTGTCTCTTCTTTATGGAAATCCTCTTTTTCCGTGTGGCCAGCATGTCATAGAAGGGGTCCTTGCTGATGCTTGCCCTGCAAAGCACGAAGACTGCCGTGACGTTCTGGCCACAACGGCAACGCGGCGATACGCTCACACCTGTTAAAAGTGTAAAAGACGGTGTCCACCAATTCTCAAATGAGCGTGGGGGAGTGGACCATCTTTGTTGGTGGCCCAGAACATTGCTAGAGTGTGGAAGAGTTTCTCACCATAGGCCAACTCCCAGTTGGGAATTTAAGTTACGACCTCGATTGTGATAATTCCTGGTTGCCTAGAGCGATAATCACCACTTCATTATTCATCACTGTTTGGAAATGTCTAAGGAGCTCACAGATACCTAAACTATCTAGACAAGGATACATTTGAAGTATTATAGTCTACATGCTCAGCTTCCACATGTCTAAACAGTCGGACAAAGGGAGCTACACAGATATGGAATGGGCTACAGAAGAGACAGAGCCAAGTGCACTTGCTGATGGATAGTACTCGTGTTGCGAAAGATCGATGTTTGTGGTGGAGGCTCGGGAAAGATGCTACTTACTGTGTGGCTGATGGCAATATATTCACCACTTTACATGATCTCAAAGTGCCTCGGTGACATCACCACCACCTAGTGGCACACGGTGGCTATTGCTGTGAATGTGTGCAGGCATGTGCACGCACGTAACTGCGATATATACACATGCATACACGTGTACATATCGGTGCATGTGATTGAATCGCCTGGAATGCACCCGATCCCATTAGATCTTGGAAACTACGTAGGGTTGAGCCTGGATAGTGTTTGGATGGGTTACCGCCGTGCACAAAACAGGTTGTCATCATAGGGCTTGTGCGACTATGAGTAGAGGGGAGTGCAGCAAAAAATTCCATCTTCGCGCTCCACGTCAATGCTACCCACCACCTTCATCAACAGCCTGCACAGCGACCATCTTGGAAAAATATGACCCTCAAAAGCATGGAGAGGCCCTCATCCACGAGGACGCTGACAAAAAGACTGCACAGGTACACAAGTGTGCGCGTGTACGTACACTTTTCTTGGCACGAGCACTACGATGTCACCGCGATGCAATGGTGCACGGTGGCTATTGTGGTTGTGCACACGCCTAGCTCCTGCCCCAACAGTCTGTTAAGGCTATACGGGCGATCATTTTGTGCACTCTGTAGGTAGAACTTCTCTCGCAACCTACGTAGCTAACCATGCTCATCAGAGGTGCTCTGCAGTGGTGTAGTGGTTAGCGCATTACACTTCGAACCTGGCGATCCGAGTTCGATTCCCACTCACGGCCAACACTGGTGACGATTATCTGAACCGGTCCAGGGCCTCCCCCCTAGATGAGTGCCTAGTGTAGTGCGTAAACATCACCACTGGGGAGACAAAGGCGGCTGGGCATACCGGCCTTCATTAGGTGCTCGCTAGCAGCACTTGCCCCCCAGGCTGGGCGTACCGGCCTTCATGAGGTGCTCGCTAACAGCACTTGCCCCAACAATCTGTAAAAGGCTATACGGGGGAGGGAATCATTGTCTGTTGTGTGCTCTGCTGTAAACGCACTTGATGCACTTGATCCACTCGTCCTTCTCCTCAGGCGAGGGTGCCGAGATGCGGTAGACCATGTGCTTCCCCTCCACCACGCGGCCGTCCGTGTCCGTCTTGCACGCCTTGATCACCCCGCCCTTGTTGTTGGGGAGGAACAGCTCGAAGCAGTTCTGCCACGGAAAGCGTGGGAAAACAGAGAAGGCAGCAGCGGCGGCAGCAGCAGCACGTCATAACGTGAACCACGACGGATTCGCTCTGCTGCTTCACCAAACAAACACCTTGTAAAAGACCCAATGCAGAAGATCCCTGGTTTTGATCTTCCACAAAGCTCATGGTCCCACCATATAAAGTGCATCCGTACAACCCATGGCAGATGCGAATACCTCACGCACAAATGGGAAATGTAAAACTCTCCGATGTGCGATTGCGGTCATCCAAAAGAGCGTACCACATATTACGATGCAATGCCCGATCGACAAATACGAAGGAGACATCACACAGATAGACTCCGCTGCTCCCGATGCGGTTATCTGGCTTGGCCACCTGAACGTGGAATTGTGGGTTGTTGCTCTGCATCTACATCAGCCATACGAAAGAAGATCAATTAAGTGCCTCCGTATTATTGTTGCGGTCTGTCTGTCCAACCATCTGTAATGGCGGGGGCCACACTATAACTTTTGTAAACTAGGTCCAAAAGGAGCCTAGCTTCAGTACAAGGTTGTTTTGTTGTAACGGGGTCTCACCCGATTGAAAATCGGCCAAATTGACCAAAAGGGTTGCCCAAAACTTGAATAAACCAGAATAGAAATTATCATTTGCAAATATGCCAAAAAGAATTCTGCCCTGACAGGTATCTCTTCAGCTTCCACGCTGCTCATCACGCACTCCGAGATGAACACGCGTTGGAAAGCGTGACCTAATCCATGTGTACGCATGACTTCTCTCAAATGTGTTTAGATTGCAGAGAGCAAAACAATGAGGAATGAGAAATAGGAAAACAGAAGCGAACTCAAAACAAAATCAATGGTCTGCGATCACTCACGAATCTCGTGGAGAGCAGCGAGAGTGCAAATGTCTGCAGCACGTACACGAGACACCTTTTCAAAATGTCCTTAAGCACCCTATCGATCCGTCCCAACACTTCAAAATGCGTAGCGATTTTAATTCGCACCTTTTACTCTTGGTCGAGAATATATATTTTTTTACGCACCAAAGCTGTTTAACGGTTGGGCAGGTGGCCAATAATACTTTCGGGGTCAACACGAGTACCAATTTGTGCAACGTTAACAGCGATTGTCCCTCTTGATAAACTGGCCGCTGCCATGGGGAATACAGAATTTAAATAACTGCCCAAGGACCACCAACAGTAGTCGTAGCCGCACTGCATTAGATATTTTGTTTGTTTGTTCACAGTTAAGAGATGTTGGTTGGCAGGTGGCCGAGCGGAAGAATGAATTGTTATACTGCACCGTGCTCTCTGCCTTCACGGACCTGCACTGATCAGCGGTGAAGTATGGCAAGATATTACCGACGACCTGCATAATGAGGGAGAGGTCCTCGTGGAGTAGGGGACGAACAAAAGGGCTGTACACAGCCCTCGCGTAAATATGTGTCGTTAAACCCGCCACAACCTGACAGCCAATTAGTAAGGTTTGTCACGTAAACACGTAAACAGAACATGCCAATTCGTCACAACATTTACAATCAGAGTACGACGTTTTGCCAGTAATTACAACTAGCTTCATCAGGTGACAGCCAGATTTGTGGAGAAATCCTCCCGTTTCGTTCCTTAAATGTCTGTTTACGTGACAAACCTTACTAATTGGCTGTATTGGGTGGTGGCGGGTTTAACGACACATTTATATATTCACGCGATATAACCCAAAAAAACTTAAATTATGGATGATATTGGTTACAAAAGCCTACGTGTTAAACTGTACAATTGTTCGTAATATTTCCATCCCATCGGCATCTGTTAGTTCCAACACTTGCCCTTCGCATAGAAACCACAAGGTGGCGTGCAGCCTGCCTTTGCTGCACACACGCAAAAGGTAAAGGGGGAACCCTGCAATTTCTTGCTCATGCCACTGCTGATGAAAGGGCTCCTCTAAGAGGCAAGCTCGGGAGGGCACCTCTGGAGGGTATTTTGGCCTCCTCTTCTCTGCTGCCCAGACATCTCGGAAGAGATGGGAGTATCCACAGTTTACCCACACCACACGCGATTTGCCCATTGGCCAAAACTGTGGTTTCTTCCGGGTGGGGAGGCCGGGAGGATTTTAAAAAACGTGCACCATTCTTCCAAACGCCACGCCGGGAGATCGACATGGATTGCAAGTCGAATGTGCTCACCGTTACACCACAGCACCATCCAAAGCCCATATGTCGTGTACAATAATTATAATTTTTGTGATCATATTCAGTTGCAAAGGCCGTTGATGCCTGCGCCAAAAGCACGCGGCAGCCTTCGTGTAAACACGTACGGGCTTCTTGGGGTCGTCCACCTCCCGTATGCTCAGATTCTCCAGGGGAATGATTCCTCGCGGTTCCTTGTCCTGCACGAGAGACACAGATCGCGCCAGATTCAATAAACTCCTTCGTGTATCTGGAAAGTGTTTCCGAGTCTCAAGTCACTCCCACGTCTCCATTGACATCTACTGTCAAGGAGATTACGGTATTTAAGGCCACTATAATCACGATGGAAACCTGGCCCAAAGGTCACATTTTTTTTCCGAAGAACCACTCCTACTTAAATTTGTATAAACAGCAAGAATGCAACGTCTTAAGTATGTCGTATTTAATCATTCATCGATTAATGTTGATTCTTACGGTCACGATAATATATACATCGAATTGTGCACATGAGAATTACTTAGAATTCATGAAAAACTGTACACTAATTTAACTTTTTTATCGAATCGTAACATTTAATCAAATCACAGGTGGAGTGAATCGTTGCATGCTCTGTGAGTATAGCCTCTTGTCAACGGTCTTGGCTGCGTCTTGGGACGTATTTATTATTTAGCCCAGCACAAAATGTACTTTGTGTGGGAAAGGCACAAACGAATGGCTTATGGAGACACAGAGGGGGGCCTATGACAGTATATTATGATGATGATAATTACTAATGTCCTTACCGTTGTGTACTCAAAGTAGTAGAGGCAGTTGTCCGTCAAGATGAACCACCGCCTCTTCCAGGTCTTCACCTTTCCTCCTAAAAAACAAAAAACAAAGGAGTGACATTTATAGAGGAGCTAGAAATGACAATGTGAAGGTGCCGCTAAAACAGACTACAATTTGTTGCTTTTGCACTGATATCATTGTGATGTCCATAATTCAGAGATGGCAAAACACCTATCGTCAAACATTCATTCGAAATCGCAAATACTTGCAAGCTATAGCCCTCCTCCAACACCACCACCAAGACAGCACCAACATGTGCACTCGGGCATCATGAACTACAGCAGGAAAAGCAGCTCTAATATTGAACGTGTAACTAATTAATCGGCATTGAAGATAATCAACAAGGGCCCCAGAGCGCCCTGGCCAATGCCAAGCCGGGGCGTGTGGCTACCTTTCTTTGGATTTAAAAAAAAGCTACAACGAACATGGCTCGTGACTTTTGGGTAACGACAATGGTGTCGAAGGAAAGCCACGGCATCAACCGTGCGTGCCACCAACGCTTGCCTAATTTCAGTAGCCAGCCCTCCCGGTCAGGGTTGAAGAACGTGTGCGTGAGGTCATTGCCGTCGTCCTCGGGAATTTTGAACGGCTCGTTCTTTATGCTGTCGTACAGGTTCTGTGTGTAAAAAAAAACACGCGCAAACAAAGCCACTTCCATTTTTCAACGTCTCGTCCGAAACACGATACCGGCAGGGCTGCGCTATAGATGCAATGTGCCAATTTTGCTCCATTGTGTAATTAACTCAAAGCATTTTGTGGTGTTTAAATAATGCACAAGCACAGTGCTCTTTGTGTACGAGTGGCAATCGCCACCAGCAGTTGCCAACAGCATGCGTTCTAAGCAAGCGGCAGATGGTTTCTCTGCTGCCAGGTTTAAACAGGGACGGATCTACTTTGGCGACATCTCATTGGCCACTGTGGCCAGATGTTTGCTACTGTGGTCATGAATTATGTATTCAGATCCTCATTTAGGTAACTGACATGTGAATGTCCCTATTGTGTTTTAGCCATTGTGCGAATTGACTTGTTACAACAATCATTATAAAATCCTGAAATGGGAAGGACATAAAAAAATAGAAAACTAAAAATTGGCAGTTAATAAAGGTCTTTGTGTCTGCCAAGTGACATTCAGCAACTTCAATGGATGGGTTGGTAAGCAGGGTCTTATACTACCAGGCAAGGCAGTACAAACACCTGTAATCTAGCCAACTTGAGGTAAATTGGCCAGACAGCATAATGCGAGTGAGAATCCCAAACTGCCGGGCTAAAAAAGTGGCCTGAATGTACTCAATCCACTGCTGGATGTGGGCCTCATCACATTTATACAAAATCTTGCGGATTAATTGACCTCTATCCACCACAGTGATCATCTACAGATCGCTGAAGGTGGGTTAGGGCCAGGACTTTTTTCAGAAATCAGTCGCCACTGATGTTAGCCGTTGCCAGGAATTAAACTCGGGTTGCCGGGTTCAAAGTGAAATGTGTTAACCACTGGTACCATTGTCCCATCTGAATAATTAATATGACTAACTCAACAATCACACATCACTAGCCGACACAGCCTGTCAGCGTGAAGTCAGTACGCAACCGGGCTTTGTGCCAGGCAAGGCGGCTCGTTGCAGCTCGTGTCGCTCGGGGTATAGCCAGCGACGGTAGTACGAGCTGGTGAGTGGGGAGGGGGAGTACGAGGGCTGTAGCCTCCTACCCTGAGCAGCTCCTCCGGCAGGTCCCCGCCGTCGTTGATGCCGCGATTCATGAGGATGAAGCGCTCGGTGGTGGGCTTGTCGCGCACGTTGGGGTTGTGCAGGCTCGTGTTGAGCATGATGATTGCGAACGAGAGCACGTAGCAGGTGTCTGTCGCAACGGCGCCACAAAAAAAGACGGCGAGCAGGGGTCAATGTGAGACAGCGGTTCCCCAGTACCCGGTTCCCCTCCACCAGCACCCAATGCAATCATGGATCAACTTCAAGATCGCACACTCAGAATCTTCAAGATCCTTCGTGGACTCACTGCTGCCTACTTTTTCTCTCTTATCTTACTCTACTCCCCTCTACAACACTCCTACCTACCTTACCTCTTTCATTTCATCTTAGTCAACTTGCCCTCAATGTACTCTCTAACCTATCTCCTCTGATCTCTACTCACTCCACTCCCCATACTCTCCTACCTCATCTCAGTCTATTCCGCTCTGCACACCTGCTCCAACAACCATGGCTTTTTAAAGGAAACTCCCAGTCAAAGTTTAATTTTTTAAATAAAATTAAACTTACCAGACCACAGTGGCAGTGGGTATGCAAGCACAGGAGCGAATGCCTGAACCGCCGTTGCCATTACCACTGCCTCTTTTGGCCACCGTCCAAAAATGCCACCGTTTTATCCATTTTATTTGTATAAGGCAGCGGTATTGATGAGTCTCGATGTGTTTTAACCTCATTTGTATTGGAATGCCTGACCTGTGTAGATGTTAAAATTTTAATTTGATCTACTGCAAACCTTGACAAAACAACACGCTGCAAGATTTTCCAGACTGCTGCCTCTCACCTCGAGAATCCCTGGCTAAGGCTGACTCAGCATTATGCTCGCACCATCAGTGGCGTGGCAATTGCTGCGGAAATAAAAATGCACTATTCGGCTGGACACGATGATGCCCATAAGCCCTTTGTGCAATTAAGCACTCCCAGAAGGCCGTGGGGCTGTGAGGTTGTGTTAAAACCACTTTTAATTGCTATGTCGGGAAATGGATGTAGAAACAGATATATACAAAGGGGATGTATTGTCTGCTTAGATATTTTGTTACTTATAGTCCCTGCAAAGGTGCTCATGATTATCTTGTAAACAAGGCAATTGAGCAAAAATGCGGCAGTGACACATGCTATCCAACGAGAACAAGTCAGACTTGCAATGCTTTGGTGTCTCTCAGAGAGTTTTCAAGGTTAGCCTCTGCCAAGGTGCATTCTGAATGTTCTTGATGGAGCACTCTACCCGCTAAGCTAATTAAAACAACTCAATTCGTTAAGCGAGTGCAGTGAATTCACCTTGCGATGGGCAGAACCAATTTAAGCACTTTTCACGATTGCATCATTAATTACACAAAGGGGATTGTGCGTAGCAAACCACAAAGTGTTAATTATGTTATCGAGAGGCTTTGAGGATGGGGCAGATTGCAGCGTGTTGTGACGCTCCCACCTGCAGGGCTATGAGGTTGACATGGCACTAGAGCCATAGGTTGCTGACGTGTCTGTGTGGATTTTCCCTGGATTCTCTAGTTTCCTATCCCATGCCAGATATTCAGGGAGGATTTGCTGGATGAGAAAATGCATCATTATTACTCCAACTACTACCACTATTCAGAACAAAGAATCGAAAGGCTCTTAACGCGAGCTCACCGATATAAAACACGTCTCATTGTTACTCTACGGCGGGGTTCTGCAGCCACATCTGGCCTGAGAAGGCTCTAGAATTGGCCTAAAAGGCTTTGGCCTGCCGAGTGACATACCAAGACATAACGAGATACAGATGACTCGAGTGAAAGAGAATTAAAGAAACGGCAATTCGTGAAATGAGGGCACTTAAAATAAGACAGACCTGGAGACAATAGACACGGATTAAGCAGCCACATACACCGGGAGTTAGGACACCACAAACCCGTGTGATGTCACAACGTCTGTTTACGCGACACCTTGACATCACGTGGGCCGCCGGCACATGGTATTATGTGGCCCTGCTGGAAACTAAAGTAAAACAATTATTGCGATGCAGGAGAGCAATCATGTTGCTCGTAAGCGGTGTGTGTGGGTGTGTATGCGGTAGTGTTGCGCTTAGTGCGCTGCGCTAGGAACCTGGCGACCCGGGTTAGATTCTCGCTCACAGCCAAGTGACAACTATGTGAACTGGTCTTGGACCTCCTCCTCTCTTAGGTCGACTCCGCTTCAAATGAGTACCTGGTGTGGTGTGTAAACATCGCCACTGGGGAGACAAAGGCGGTCGGGCGTGGTGCTGGCCACCTGCCTCCACGTGTGCCGTGCTGGCCTTCATTAGGTGCTGGCTAACAGCACCTGCCCCAACACTCTGTTAAGGCTACACGGGGGACCGATGTCTTTGTGCGTCACCTGGCCCTCACCGGTCGACTGGAACACGCCCGCGTTGCACTGGCAGTAGCGCGTGGCAAACGCCTCCATCATGCGGTCGATCTTCTGCGCCTCTCCGGGCAACCGGAAGCTCCACAGGAATTGCCTGCCAAGGGCACCCACAAGGAGCTCTAAGGACGGACGCTGCTGACCGAGCTGGATTTTTTTATTATTATTGACAAGGCAAAATTACACGGATAAAACGGGACACTGCGCTGGTGCTTATCCGCATTAGGTTTGTGACAAAGTTCACCCCCCGACCAACAGCGGCGAGCAAAAAGAAAGGTAGTGTGCAAAACAAACAAAGAATGAATTCGTGAACGTGCAGTGGGATGCCTTTACCTTAGCGCCTGCACCAGGTTGAGGTTGGCAAACTCGTGGAGCTCCACGAAGGCGTGCAGTACCTGGATGTTGAAGTCATCCCTGTGGGAGAAGGCGAAGGTCAAACGCGAGCCGTCCCACGTGCGAACGCAACGGCCCATTTACTTCGAGAGCCAATTCGTAATTCGGCGGGGAAGTTCAGGGTCAAGAGGTTATCTCATAGCCATTGGTGACACAACACTTCAGAATTGTTTCCGTCCTTCTGCCTTATCCTGCCTGTCAGCACCTGACATTCAAGATCTCACCACGACGACGAACAGGGCTTCAGGTCTTGCTTTGTTTGTTGACCTCTAGGGTACCTGTTGTAAATTCTTGTCTCGGTAATATTGTGCAAATGTGCCCCTTCCTCCTGATTACATCTACAATTCCTTATTCCTCAAAATGGTCTATTACTGCTCTGCGACAGCTCCTCAATGTCACCAGATAACATGACCCAAGTTTGTATCATGACATAATGGGGCCAGAAATAATTCCATAAATGCCAATTTGTAATCCTATAAGATCCATTTCAAGAGGTCACTGGGGGTGGTGGGGGGGGGGTAATGTTCCAACGATGTATCTAAAAATGTGCACGAATTATGTATATTCTTATTCATTTGAAAAACAAAATGCAATCATTTACAAAATAACTTAAAATGTAAATATACAGTACTTCACGTATCATTGCGTTTCTAATTACAAAACAAACGTTGGGTCAACATCTGAATTCTCTTTTCTAAACTAGCTTTTAATGAGCATTACATTAATAAATAGACTGTAAATGACGAGTTTAATATTTAATGCTCATTATTAAACTGATAGTATTAACGGTGTGTTTACCATATATTATAACAGGATGGGACGAAGTGGTGTTGCTGTGGTTCGCGCACTGCGCTACGAACCCATTAACCCGAGTTTGATTCTCGGTCACTGCTAACATCAGTGGCATGATATCTAAACCAGTCACCAACCCACATTAACTAGTGTGGTAAAGTAAGGACCGAATAACCCTCACGACCGACACGGCCTGGTGATATGAAATGATATACAGCTTCACGTGTGATTTGAACAACATGCATTCTCAAACATTCGCTCAATGAATACGACCAATTTAAGTCAACTACGCTCTACTGTATACGTATATAACCACCCCACGCCGGATGAGGAAGCAACCGGCCACAAAACGAGCGAGATCGGTGAATGTAAAACGGAGTGTGCCGGGAGTTACGTCATTTTAAGACCGCATCGTGGATTGCCAAGTAAACAATGTGCACCTATCGTTGATCGTTTATCCAAACCAGAGACACAGGAACGCAGAATAGGGAATAAATTTCCGGTCCTGTGCCCAAGAGGAAACGCAAATGTAAATATCATAATTTTACCATTAGCCTTCCTTCCCATCTCCAGATCATTCTCAAGACCAGGATGTCCACTCAGCTGCTGGCTAATGACAAAGGATTCATGTGGTTTTCTCTGGCTTTAGATGCGCGTATGTGTGTGTGTGTGCATTATGCGTGCATGTATGAATTATGATACTTTGAGCAGAGGTCTGGATATGCAGTGACCGATCAATCAATGTCAGCGTTTGTAAATGGCAGACTCTCCGGAAATTGCAAAAAAAAATAAAATCCACGGTCATACTTACGATAAGTGCATACACATTATATGTGCATTGTGCACGATGGCATATGTCGGTAAATCGCACACATAGTTCAGCATGTTTTGTTTTGCATGTCCCTGCATTGTTATGGCGCATGGGCGGTTTTGCTTTTGATATGTTTGGGAACGACACGTACTCACGATGTTGTACATGTGCTGTGATTCGCATTATTTATACATGCAGACAAGCATTGATGCAAGGATATAAGCAAATATGCATTGCAAATGCTTGGTACATAATACAGTTCAAATCGACATCACTGCTCAACTAGGGAAAAAATCAGGAAAGACTTATGCACCATTTTTTTAAGTCAATAATTAAATTAGACATTTATTTTAAATCAAGTAAATTTTAATATGTTTTTATTATTAACAAAGGCATATCCAAAGGTTTTTTCGAATCAATGACACAATGGTGTCGAACACCATTCTTTAAACATCAGCATGTACTGTAGTTTCTTTTTTTTAGGCTTACAGGAAATAATTTTGATCACATGACTCATCGCATTTTTCCCATTTGAGCAGCAGAGTTGATTTTTTCTTTATTTTGCAACAAGCAACAAGCGGAACTGACTCGAGGAAAAGGAACTTGGCTTAACCAAATCAAAAATGTTCCAAACATGAAACCTAACTGAGGCTTGCCCCCCCCCCCCACCCCCATTAATATATTACATATCTTCAGAGCTCTGCAGCTCACTCCACCTTTCTGGCCTCTCTGTGTTGTGAAGGACCATTGCCTGAAACGTCACCTATTATAAAACTTTCTTTAAAAGGCCACATTGTTATTGGTAATTTGTGTCTCTAGATCATTGAAGAGATAATTGACCACTTTTTTTTTTTAATAAAGCAACAAAATATCAAGATATCTTAGATTTGTTAACAAGTATGTAGGATGTGTATCGCAGGCTGTCTGGATACGAGTTTTAAGTTTTACGTTCTGGGGAAAAAAAAAGACTGAAAATCACCGTTAGACATGCCGCTGTTGCCTAGTCACTTCACTGCGGTGGCAGCAAAACATCGGAGTGACGTTGCTGTGATGCAGTTGAAGCCATCACGTGGAATGAGCTAAAGATCCCAAGATACAAGGGGTCTATATACTCTAACCAGGATTGTATTTACCAGGTGCTTATCACCAAATCACCCGGAAATTCATTCTATCTCAACAAATCCCAGAAGTTAAGCTGGAATAAGCCTGAATATTGGTGGGTTGAGCAACCACCACCATGCATAAAATGTATTACAGGCTATGAGGATATGTTTTGGGCTGTAGAGGCACCAATTTTCAGTTGTTCTATACAACAGTATTATTTACTGTACATGAAAATTCTGTCCAAGTCATACTAACCAGTCATTGTAAATCTTTCTTATTTTTGTCTCGACTTGAGCTAGTCACACCGAGAAATTCGTAGTGTGGGTCACGTCCATGCAATGAACACGACCCATTCAAATCCCACAGTGAAGCAAAGTGGCCAGGGTGGTGCCTCTGGGGTCACAGCATTGAGCCAGCACCGCCGAGTTCCCCGTGTTGAATCTGGGTTTTCCAAATCACGTGTGCGTGCTTAAACCGGGTTCTGAAGTGCATTAAGTTGACAGTCTTAGCCCCAATCGCCAATGACTGCACACTAACAAATGCTAAATTAGATTTCTATACTTTATTTGGGAAAAATTCCAGCTCCAAGACTTAAACCAAAAAGTCATGATTGTGTATTAATTATTTGTCCTCGTACTAGGACCTGTAAGATCAGTCGCTCGCCAGCATGCATTTAAGCAAAGCCTGCCTCTGCTGCCTCTACTCTTTCGAAAACTAGTCTAGAATATATTCTTAGGTTTTTTCGGTAAAGTCACGTAGGTAAAAAATGAAAATTTAAATTAATAAAATAAAAATCACGACGTTTCGGAGGCAACACAAGCTTCCGTCTTCAGGTGTTGCCTCCGAAACGTCATGATTTTAATTTTATTTTTATTTATTTACTTTTATTAATTTAAATTTAAATGTTTTACCTACGTGACTTTACCGAAAAAACCTAAGAATATGAATCCTTGCAGTCACGAAAGCTTCAAATCTAGAATAGTCTAGAATATACTTAAAATAGCTATTGTAATCATTTAGCCGATTTGGTTGTTTTGGAGGCCCCGAGGCCTGTGTGAACCACAAACCAGCCTCACCTTTCTCCAAGGTATTCCCCAATGGCCGTCTTGTTGAGGCCTTCCCCCTTGTAGAGGAACTGCGCGATATCCTCGGGCGTGTTCTTCAGAAGCTCGTTTTCTGTCAGGAACTTAATTCCCTGTGGAAAAAAAACCAATAACAGTTTGCCAAAGCATTTTGTTTATAGATCATCTTTCCAGGCATTAATCGTGAACAACTTCAATAATCCTGCGTAGGTTATCTGTTGTTGTACTGTACAGGTTGCACTGCACGTTGTGCCAGATGTAGCACTCCACATACTTGGAGCTTCTTCAGGCACTGCAATAATCAGTTCCTGAAAGGAGCTTCCAACCACATGGGAGAGCGAAACATCAGACATCGTAACCAACAAAATGCATCGGAGAACTACAACAATACCAATAAACAATGGAAATAAAAACAAAAGCAACTGCTAATCATATCCCTTCATTTGCATGAACGTGTCGTTGTCGAAGGGCAGACGGCACGATTTTAAGAGATCATCATTTTCGGCGTTTCCAAACACTGTATAAAATCGACCCACCACGTCGGACAGCCAAATGGAAAAAACCAACCAAGCAGCCATCATCAATCAGCACAGCGAGCCACCTCCAGAGGGACACCCCGACCGGTCTTGAAACCCTCAAGACATTCACGCCGCAGCGAATAATACAGCTGCGCAGACGACACAGCATCCGAATTGATGAGAGTTTTGATTGATTTATAAAAAGAACGGGGGAAAGCGGATGAGCAGCATGCATGCCAAAGGGCCGATTTAATTGCGCTTGGCAGGTTGTCTGAAATCTGACGAGTCCTCCCTCATTTGTGCGCGAGCTGCTGGGCGCTTTCGAAGGGCTTTTCCGGCATTCAATAGAGGCCAGGCGGCTTCCACACACTCAGATAATTGGTCGTATCGATGTTAGAATGTGCCAGGGCTTTTATCAAGCCAGAGCAGTCCTGATAGCAAACCCATTCCGTCATTTGGCTAATGCAGAGAATCAGGCAGTGCCAATTCTCCCGAGGACCACGGCTGACGCCAATAAAGAAAAAGGAGAGTTCGCTTGCAAACAGCAGACCGTATCATTTAACACAAGGGAAGACACGGCTAAGCAAGTGGAAATATGTAACATGTACGAGGGCCACGTGGTGGGCAGAAGAGGGCAATGCATCACATTTCATTGACTGCGTTCAACCTACCCAACACTGACCAGCAGTGGCGTTTGACATGACACTGTGTTGTTCCCAAACATCCTATAAGGCTTCACGAAAAAATAAACACCGCTTTGTGGGAATTCAAAAGTAATTGTCTCATGTAAACTGCCAGAGCATCGCGCAAGTTCTGCCACAGGCTTAGGGTTGGTAGATCGGAGGCACCCAAAACTCCTTCTTTGAGCTAGGGGAGGCACCGTCTTAAATAAATAGAAAATATCGGCACAGTGCAACAGAACGTGCACCCACAAGCCACATTCCCCTTTTCCACTGGCTAACTCAAGTGGGTGGTTTTGCTAGGTATTATTTGCAATGCCGAGCTAGAACCAAAACCAGGAAAATCTGGCCTCACAAGACATATATAAATCTGGCTTGGGGCCAAGTAGGGCCAGGGGCCCTGGTCAATGGGGTATCAGAATCAGAAAATTTCTTGATAATGGAAGAATCCGATGAGCTAGAAAAGCTCTCTTTTCACACATGTCCAGTAGGGGCAGGTAAGAACATTACAACAATAAACAATACAAAAACACAACAGAATTGCAAAGTACAAGAAAGGTAAACAAATGACCCAAACATACTAATACAACTAAACCATCCCCATCCTACCAGGCAAAGCTCACGGAGGTAAGAACTTATTTTTCAAAAGCGACCTGGCCACAAATGATAGCTCAACAAAGTGGCTTCACATTTGGACATTTATAGCAGCAAATTAATCTAAATAATTTCAACACACGTCTCTAAATGTGGAGTGGGAATAAAAACAAGTGCCCGCGGCGCCACACGGGGCTGACTTCGCCGCACAGCCCTGGTCCAGCTCAGTTGTATGGAGGGAAAATTGGTAAAATAAATATAACAATGGTGGTTCTGTGCCACTTAAAAATCCACACTCCCACGAGCGATTTCTGCAGCTGAAAGCTCCTCATGCCAGAATATTAAGAGCTTTTGGTGAATATTTCTTCATTTGAACATAATCCTCCTTCAACTTAAGGCTACATTTCTATTGCTTGTGTCATATTTAGAGCTTTTTGGATATAAAAAAAAGTAATCTCCATACATAAGTCTCCCTCAAGTATGAAGACTGACCGAGGTCAAGAATGTATTTGAAAGCCACACAAGGCACTTCTCAGAAGAGCAAAATCACTGTCTATAACGATAGCACGACAACACCAAGGACGATGGCAGCCTTCCTCATGCAGCCTTGAGAACAGATGCTTGTTGAGGTTGCGAATGTTACATATCAAAGAGGAAAATGTAGTTCATCATTCCACACTGGTGTCACAGTGATAACAATACTTTAAAGGGATTTAAGGGCAGCACATTTCGCCCCCCGCCCCCCCCCCCCCCCCCCCCCCCGTTGAGATGAGACGAGAAGTCCTATTAAGGTCACTGCTTATCAAAGTCCTGGAGGCTCAACACAGGAGGATGAGGCTGTCTGGAAGGGAATAAATAAATAACTCCCTTTCCCATCTCGACACTGCCACGGGAATAAGCAAACGGCTTCCATCTCAAAGACCGCAACGGCATTCACGAGCATAAAGGGGCCGTGTGTTAACGGGACCTTGGTGCATCCAAGCTATCGCACAGCTGCTGCCGATTACAGACGAAGGAAACGGCACAACACGCGCGCGTTTTTCCGGTAAGAAACCATAAAGGCGCATCCCCAACCCGCTCCCCCCCCCCCCCCCCGATGCTCCTATGCGTGCAATTTTATCTGCTTGCACGGGAAAGCCATTCTCCTCGCCCCTCCGGGGGACTGGCTCCAACACGCACTGCCCCACAGCGTGGGGCGAGCGCGGAAGAAAGAGAAAGGGAAAAAAATAAAGCCCGACCGCTACTCGCGATGACCCCAGAAGCCATAACGCTGCGGCCATAGATGGCGTGTGCCTGAAAGAGTGCCCTGGAAAAATGGCAATCAGCACGATGCGCATCAAGATTCCCAATACGTTATGAGAGCAAAAGTCGTCAACAGCAGGCAGAACAGCAAGTAGGTTGCCGACATGTGTAGAGATTTTTAGCATTATCATGGGTTCTTTTTTTTGTTCAGGCACTGCGTGACACCCATTTACTCTGCTTTGCACATTTTTATATCGATGTGTCCATTAGCAGCATTGGTGATTACTGTCATAAATGAACTTCTGAACTGTGAGTGAAAGTATAAGTTACGTACAGTTTACACAAGTTGCATCGCAAACGCTCATTAAAAACAGAACTGGCCAAGCAGCTAAAGCAGGATCCCTGTACATAACAGAGCCTCAAGGGTTAATTACTATTGCACCAATTTTCGCAAAAAGGATTCAATGGAACCGAGAGACAGGCCACGGGATTTTTCACAGTAGTGGTGGACCTGTGCAAGGAGTGTACGTGCTGTTTACAGGATTACGCGTCACCCAGCATGCGACCGACTGATATATCCAAAGCAGACAAGTCTTGGGGCAATGTCTTTTGCCCTCGGCATTCATGCATGCTCACGCGCACCGACATAAAACACCATCAAAATACAATAGAAATCGGACAATGCATGCCGAAATGTACCTTTTTAGGATCCATGTTAAATTTCTTCCTCCCCATGGACATTTGTTTATTCCTTTGCACGATTTTGCTGTACAAAGTTGGAGGGAGGGGGGGGGGGTTTGGGTGGATGCAGAGGCAGATGGTCAGAACAAAAAATGTTTCGTATCGCCGCTTTAAATCCATAACATCATTGCAGCACATCGATTTCAGACCAACCCCCAATAAGGTTTTCTGACAGGCCATCCTGTAGCATGGCCTTTGATCAAATCACTCGGAATGCGCCAAATCTTTGTCAGATCTCAGTAGCTAAGCTCGTCTGAGCCCGAATAAGTGGTCGGATGGGCGACCGCCACGCACAGCAGGATGTTATAGGCTGCTTTGCGGCTCTGGTGGGTTGCGGAAGGTAGTGCAACAAAAAAAATCCATTGTTGGACCGTAATCTACGCTTGCACGTTGATGCTCCCTACCTTCAACAACCCGCACTAACCAGTGTGGTGAAATACGATCAAATAACCTTCACACGACACGCACAGCGCGAGGAGGCCCTCATCCAGCAGTAGATTGATGAAAGGGCTGTACAGTTACATTCTGCAGCCGTCTCAAGGACAACTAAATAAGAGCAATATGACCATTACATGTTCATATGTTCACATATCAGTGTCAGTTTAGAATATGCAAGCTCCACATTACACGACTGTGCTTAGGAAAAATCGCACAGAGTTCCTAGGATATACATTCACTCACAATGCCCATCATCATAATCCCGAGGACATTAAAAACAATCGTGACCATGCGGCATTACCACACAACCACTGCTATTAAACGTGGAAGTCCGTTAGCGAGCGACGCGTGCATAGAGGTACCTCTCCTCGGCATTGTCCAGGCTCTCGATCTCGGTCATCACGTCCGATATTTCGTCTTTGAGCCTCTGAAACGGGCGCACGTCACGCGACGTCAACAGCTTCACCGCACAACAACACGAAAGCACGCGTCCATTTCACGCTTTGCGTCTCCGACACGGTAGAACGGGCACCGGAGTTGGGAGGCGGGAGGGGGGGGTGGAAGAGGGGATGTTACCCGGACTGGGGCTGACCCAGTGACGCCTTAGCCGTGAGATTGCGAGCCACCGCCACCGCCGCCGCCGCCGCCGCCAATGTGCTGTGACGCGGCCGCCCACGCCGCGTGCCCCGGTGTCGACAAACTCATTATGCGGCCACGACTCCGGATAGCGGGGAGGTGTGACGTGCGGCTCCGCGGTCCACTCCTCGAGCTCTCCAGCCACGAGAGCACTCCGAATTTACCAATGTATATAGTGGGGTGGAGCAATGGGCTGTCAACCTAGTGGTCCGAGTTCGATTCCGGGTCACCAAAAGAATGAGTGTTGCGCGAATAATTCGATTCACGTGTCGCGAGGGCGGGCATCGATTAAAATTGATTAATTCTAGACTTGAAGCTTTCGTGACTGCAAGGAATCATATTCTTAGGTGTTTTCGGTAAAGTCACGTAGGTAAAACATCAAAATTAATAAAAATAATAAAATAAAAATAAAGATCACGACGTTTCGGAGGCAACACAAGTCTCCGTCCGAAACGTCGTGATCTTTATTTTTATTTTATTATTTTTATTAATTTTGATGTTTTACCTACGTGACTTTACCGAAAACACCTAAGAATATAAAATTGATTAACTGATGCATTGTTACAAAGTGCATTCTTTAATTTACTTCTGCCATGTATTACGATGCTTTTTGAGTCGGATTATAGTATTTTTTCCCCAATTCACGTTACATTTGTTCATAAGGAGGGCGATGGCAGTGCACAGCAGTTTGTGCAACCTAGTGACCCCGGTTCATTGACCAGTGTTGTGAAGAATGACATTTGGGAAAAAAAATCAACGAGGAAACATTCACCGTTACATTGCAACGGTTACGTAACATCCGATTACAACTGCAAACCTGTGATAAGGCCCATTCCAGCTCCGATAACAGTTCGACCGTGAAAAAACACATCACAGGCCCAATGCACGTGGTTGTTGTTGATGGTTGTAATAGTAGCAGTCGTGGTGAAGCAGCTCCGTCCAATATTTAAATGGAAGAACAACAAAGAAGCCAACTGTTTCCTCCGAATTTTAATGTTTTCAATGAAACTCGGCACCATATGCCTCTTTAACAGATGTAAAAACGGAGCAGGGTTGTTAATTTTTTGTTTCTGTGAGCAATGATTGCATGCACTTTTTTTTTTAAACAACACATGGTTTGTCGCACACATTGTGAAATTTAACAATATAAAAATATAAAGTCTGTGCGTGCGTGTTCTTTTGTCTGTACCATGCGCTGACTGATGAGTCCTGTCACTCGTGTCTGATGGATGCTGCTCGACAAATCACATTCGAACGCGTCGTGCGGGATTGAACATTGGCACACGTGCCAAATCGGTTCAGTCTCTACAAAAAAAATGCAACTGGATTCAATTGTCAATTGGGAGCTTTATAATATCGATTGGACCTCAAAATGTGATTTTTTTGGGGGGGCGACCTAAAACGTAACATGTGGAGGAATTGCCCCGAATTACCGCACCTGAATGTCGACCACGAGCTCCTGCTTGCGTCGGCGAATGCTGGCCAACTCCTCCTGCTCCTCCTCCGTCAGGTCGGGTGGCACTGCAAGGGAGAGGGGGGCGGCACAAATGACGTGTGGACGATCAGCCGACGGAGTTGACAAACGATACAAATATAGCAATACAGGGCGATCCATTTACAGACACCACACTAAAATATTAGGGAGAACTCGAGGACATTTTTTATTTATTTCAAAAACCCTCTACATGTCTCCCACCACTCAATAAACTTGTTAAATCCTTTACTACTCTTCTGTTAAGTAAGAAAGTTATTACAAACCAGTGAGGTATATATAAATGTATTGCCCCGTAAATTGTTCGCAGAGCCAGAAGACACAAGTCGGGCTATATGGCCGTTGGGCAAAAAGAGGTGTTAGTGAGAGTGCGATAATTTATTTACAACCCTTTTGTCTCTCCACTGCTAGATGAAGACCTCCCCACACTATCAGGTGTGTGGGTTGTTTGACCATTCTTAACCACGTTGGTTAACGGTAAAGGAGGTTGGGTCCAAGGACCGGTTGAGATGTCGCTTGCCACCGATGTTATCCGAGGCCAGGAGTTGAACTCAGGTGTGGCCTAGTTTATAGTGCAGTGCGTGAACCACTGCACCACTACCTGCTCCATCTGTCAGTGTCAGGTTGTGTAGGGCACTAAAGGCACATCTTGTGACTAGCGATGGCACACGCCTGCAGCCAGAGGCACTGCACTCCGTGTCAGCGTGACATGGATACAGCAACGGTTCTGCAGACTTTGTAAGTCTGGCAAGTGAGCAACGGCATCCTATAAATACCCCAAATTGCCTTTTAGCTGCCGTTTAATTGCATGTCAAATGTACAATCCCACTTGTCTATCCACTGCTGGATGAGCATCTCCCCGATGTCGTGCATGTAATTTGATCGTACTTCACCACAAATGGTTAGTCCGGGTTTGGTGTAGGCTGGGAGCACAGATGTGTGAGCATAGAAGTACAGTACAACAATTGCTTTTGCTGCACTGCCCTCTCCTGCCCACTCCGTAGCTCACGCGACAAGCCTGTTCATGCTCTGTGGGTCATCCATTCCAAGCAATCTCGAGGCTCAACGCTGCTGAGCTTCCTCCTGCCAAATTGTCAGACGCAGGCGCTCCGTACACAGATGCCGCCATCGTACAATCCACCTCCCTAGCCAAGGGTTTGCAAAGCCAGACCCGTCTGTCACAGTCGTGCCCGCACGTTTTTTTTTTTCAGGCTTTATTTACTACACACCTGCCGTCCGTGCACCTTCTGCCACGATCGATCGACAGACGAGTAAACAGACCATTGTTGGGGTAAGAAAAACACCAAATTGGTGGCAGACAAAGCAATTTGCAACAACAAAAATCAAATATAGCTCATGTGGAATACACAGAGACAGTTTCTTTCGAACTGCTTCTTGTGTTCAGTTTGCTGTGCTTTCCCCCCACACCTCCAATTAAGCGCGGTTTGGCCACGTACGGTACGAAAGAAGTTCAACGCGCATACATAGTGGTTGCGCATTAAGGGCACCCGTCACAGGCAGCTGAATGCCACGTGAATGCTGATCTCATTCATAATGAAAGCATCGAAGGCAGTGAGTGTAACGCAGTCAGAAGTGAACGTTTGGCGGTTTATGCTCCCAACAAGTTGGCAGGCACAGCACGATGTGTGGCGGAGGGTACAGAGCGACCACAAGGTGCCATTTCACCGGGGGAGGTCGGACACAAGAACCACCTTTCGTTCTAGATTTGAAGCTTTCGTGACTGCAAGGATTCATACTCTTAGGTTTTTTCGGTAAAGTCACGTAGGTAAAACAATTAAATTAAAAATTACTAAAAGCATTAATAGAAATGAAATAAAATAATAAATCACGATGTTTCGGAGGCAACACAAGTCTCCGTCATCAGGTGGGACCGTCACAGCCAGATTTGCTGTATCACTTGATAGAGCAAACTGTGACTTGATGCAGCAAATCTGGCTGTGACGGTCCCACCTGATGACGGAGACTTGTGTTGCCTCCGAAACGTCGCGATTTATTATTTTATTTCATTTCTATTATTACTTTTAGTAATTTTTAATTTTATTTTTTTACCTACGTGACTTTACCGAAAAAACCCAAGAGTATATATAACCACCTTTCGCTCTCCCCTTCTGCTTGTGAACACCAAACGGAACTACGACGGCCACGAAGAAGCAGCTGGTCGTCACGGCAACATTCACAACCTCGCAAAAATCCACGAGCGTCATGTTGCCCACGACCGGACCGTGAAGCCGGCGCCGCCACCGCCACCGCTCGGGTCTAAAACCAGAAATTCAACACCAGAGTAGGCACTTTGAATACTGACACAAGGGCCCTCCTTTCACGAGGATCGCCATCGAGGGAACACACTCCCGCGTGATGATGCAGCTTTCTGCATCTTTAATGTGTTGTGTCATAGCCCGTGGAGGTAAATTATCATGCAAACACCGGCGCTCTCTCACTTGTAGCAGTGAAGCAGCAACGAGCCTGCCTCTGTAAAACAACCCAGTTCAAATGTTGTTAAAAATAGAGACCTTTGTTAATTCACTGCTGGATGAAGGCGTCTCCACACCATGTCCATGATGGGGGTTTTTGCTTGACAGAAACCATTAGCAACCCACAATGACCAGTTGTCCTGAAGTGTGGTTAAACAACCCACACAACTGACACTGTGTGGGGAGGATTTACAATCGGGCAGTGAATTGACAAAGAGCTCTACATTATTATGAAAATTACGTTTAGATAATGTTTACACACAGTGGTGGATATTCCACTTTCACACAGCGAGGTCAAGTCTACCTAAAGTACAACGAGTGACTGGCCACACAGGAGGTAGTCATTTTATTCACCCCAGAGCGATGATTGATCAAGGTGACCCACCATCCCTCCGGACTTGGAACTGAATGCAAGACACTTCCGATCGAGAATTGATCGCTCTGCCAACAACGGCGAGCACAGTATCCTGTTAATCTGCGATAATTCCGGATTCAGCAAATAAAATAACGAGTGCGCCCGACAGCTCATTAGGCAGTCACGAGGTTCACAATCTGCTGTGCACACCGTGTCCGCAGCCCACACAAAAGACGCTCTGTGCAAAGTGATGCAGATCTGTAAGGCCTTTGGATTTCAAATCTTGCACAGTCGGCTTGTTTTTAAACCCAAGAAGTATCCTTTTTCGATATCAGCGAGTAACGAGTGGGAAACATTTACCTAGCTTTGTGTGTGCACGTGTTTGACCGCTCACAGCACTTGCCAACTGTTTATGTAGGATACATGGGGATCTGTGTATTTGTATGCTGGGATATGTGGGAGGCAGTGGGTGCAGTGGTGAGCCTACTGTGCTACGAATCTTGCAGAGTTAAATTCCTGGCCAAGGCTAACCATCAGAGGAGCGATATATGAATTGGTCCTGAACCTCCCCCAATTAATTCCACCCAAGCTCCCTACCCTGCCCGATTTCCCACCCATTTAACGCTTGTTCTCGGCGAGTAAAAAATAAATACAATGCAAAGTGTGCAGTTTTGGTTCCATAAAGGCCAAATTTTGCTTTCAGAATTATTCATTTCAAGTAAAATTCTAGGTGTACATATATATTTATATATACACACAGAAACATTCCAAGAACGTATATATATATGTGAAGTGTTCTTGAAGACGCGTGGACAACGGGGTAAGGCACACGTATTTATTTGCACAATGTCTTTACAATACTGGAGGGATGTATCGGCCCCCTCACCCGTACAACTGGGAATTCACCCCTAGCTAGCCTTCCTAGCTGAGTCCTCCGCTAACGGGCTAGGGGAGGCTGTCTGGCCCGACACTGGTTAGTCGGGCTACGGTACCCGGAATCCCAGAGGTCTGACTCTGGTTCCGGGACCACGCCACTGGCTCCAGCCTGCACTGCCCTTACAAGGGCGGCGTCCCAGGGGGAGTCCAGGGCCTATCTGGCCGGTCTTCTCTCTTCCCTTAACTACACTAAGACTGAGCCCCGAGCTCTCTGGCTCAACCCTTTTTATACCCCCCTAGAGGATCGAAACCCCCCTCACGCCGTCCAGTACGGACGTCGTTGCGGGCACCACCCCTTGTGCTCACGGAGTCCCCGCCCACTGTGTTTGTTATCCGTTAGCCCCTATGCAAAACAGCCCTACACAAACAGCCCCTCTGTAACAGCCCTACATCACCCCCCCCTGTACAGCTCGCAGCCGTCCCGGCTGCAACAACTTTAATAAAGGCTGTTTAACCCCTGGATACCCGCGTGTGCCTTAAAAAACGTTTTTAACGCTAACATGAAGGAACCAACAGCAACAACGACAACAACAACAACAATGACAACAACAAAACCCACAACCCCGAAGGGAACAATCCGACGCACCCCCCCCTGAATAAATACGAATACCGTAAGAGTGACGCATATATACAGGTTAAGCAGGGAACTCGCAACACACATGCAACACAACACAAAAAAAATGTGCTAGGAGCTCCCCACCGACGCAGCACCACGCAACCGTACGTAAGAGAGAAGAAGAAAAAAATGTTCGTCCAATGCGCTATAAGAGTCTGCGCATTTTTGCGCGTGTCCTTGCTGCAGGCCCGTCACACGGGGCAATCCCGGGTGGCGAACCCGCCGGTGGCGGTTGTTCGTTTTGTATAGAGTCCGCGTCTGACGTCGCGGGAACCGCGGCGTCCCTTGCAGCAGCAGGTGGGTGCGGGCTCGTCAGTCCCGATGCACCTGGAGGTGGCACGGCCGGCAAGGCATTAGGTGAGCGCGGTGGAGACGGAGCTAGTGAGTCGGTCGACCCCCCACACGTCTGGCCACGCATGTGTGAAGTGGGTTTGTGTACCGCGACGAAAGGTTTCAACCGAGAGGGGTGCACGAACCATCGCCGCTTCCCCCAACGAATGCGCACGCACTGTGGTCGCAAGACCTCGACCACTTCCACAGGGCCCCGCCACGGCCGCGCCAACTTAGGGGAGGTGGCCAGGGGTACTTGGGGACAGTGCAACCATGCCCTGTCCCCCGGTTTCCACTGTA